TTTGACAATCAGATGACAAGCCCAGTCAAGAATTCTAGGACATTTCCGTTACTCCAGAAAGTTTCCTCATGCCCCAGTAAAGTCAGCCCAATTCCCACTTTTTTTCCTTTGGCAGTACTGGGGCTTGAACTCAGGCTATGTAGGTGCTCTACCTCGAGTCACACTGCCCCACCAGCTGCTGCCTCCTGGACAACCACTGGTCTGACCGTGCTCTATCACAACAGGTAAGTTTTATTTGCCCCAGAATTTTATATTAATAAGATAATACAGCCTATATATTTAATGTTTACCTATTTTAACTCAGCATAAATGTCTTATCTTTTTTTATGGGACTGGGATTTGAACTCAGAGCTTTGCACTTGAAAAGCAGGCACTCTACCGCTTGAGCTACACTTCTGGTCCTGTCTAAATACTTTAGAATTATCCATATCAAGGCAGTTCCTCCTTCTGCGTGCATCAGCATCTCTTTTTTTTTACTTATAGTGTTCCATTGTTTTGTTGGGATGTTTTTCTGATTTTGATTGAAAGAATTCTTAGATATTCTGTACTCAAGCTATTTGTTAAATAATGTATTGTGACGTTTTTTAAGTCTGTGATTTATATTTTTCTTATCAGTATCTTTTGAAGAGCAGAAAATTTTAATTTTTACAAAGTTCAATTCAGTTTTTTATTTTCAATTATTGTTTTTTGCGATCTTTCCAAAATTTTTTCAACACCAAGCAGGTGAACTTTCCCTCTCTTGTCCTAGAAAATGGATCATCTTAGCTTTATTTTAGACCATGACCCACCATAAATTAATGCTGTTGTCTATGCTGTGAGGTGGGGTTGAGGTCCATTTCTGCCCACATTGATCTAGCACTATTGTTGGAGAAAATTATATCTTTTCCCATGGAATTACCTTGGTGTCATTATGAAATGTGATTGGTCACATATGGATGCTTGTGTGGGCTGATTTCTAACCCTGTTATTTCATTTCTGTTGGTGTTTATGTTTACACCAGTATCCCCATGATTTTATTGCTCTAACTTGGTGTAGCTTGTAGTGTGCAGCTTCTTTGTTCCTTCACAAAGTTGTATGGCTATTCTAGATCCTTTGTTCTTCCTTATGAATTTTTAAGTCTAGTGCTTTATACTAGAATCCCTGAAAGAAGTGAAGCCACAATCTCTCACTTTCTGGTTAATTCTGTCTAGAAACTTCTTATTCCTTTGAAAGAACCATCTTGGGCTGGGGGGAATAGCACATGCTAAGCATACATGAGCCCTGGGTTCAATTTCTAAGTCTCACATTTAAAAAAATTCCAAACCCACCTTTTAGTTTCGTTGCTTTTTTCCCATTGTTTCGTGGGTTTCCCATCAGGTCTTGACTCAGTATTTTCTTCTGTCTGCTTGCGTTGAGTTTGATTTGCTCTTCTTTGTGTAATTTCTTAAAGTGAACACTTGGGTTCATTTTTGTAGGAACTTTATATTTAATTTGAAAAAGCATTTTTATTAGCATACACTAGTTGTAAGGGGGAGTTCATTGTGACATTTCCATATGTGACAGCAGTGTTACCCTCCATCCTTCTCCCTCACTCCTCCTTAAAACAATTTGAACAGATCTCATTGTTCTGTTTTCACTCAAGAATGCAAAGTACATGAACCACATTTACCCTCCTTTACCTCTCCACTCCCCCTTCCCCTCCTACTAGTGCTCACCCCCGAACAGGACCTGTTTCACATTTCTGTCCTTCAATATTTTAAAAGGATATTAATTGTTCAAAGGGGTTTCTCTATTGTGTTTTGCACATGCATGTATTATTCCTTTTCTCTTTTTTCTTTTCATCGTCATGCTGGGGGTACATCGTGGTATTTACAAAAGTTCTTACAACATATCAAATATACCATTATTGAATTCACTCCCTCCATCAATCTCCTTATTCCCCTTCCCCATTCCTGGAATAGTTTTTCTTTATATGAAACCTTCCTTGTTTTCCCATACAAGCACATATTAGTAAAAAAAAAAAAAATTCCTTCTAAGTCCTACCTTACTTGAATCCCACAAATTTTGTTATGTTTATATTTTAATTTAGCCAAAATAGTTTCTAATTTCTCTCGTGACTTTCCTGTGATTCATGAGTTGTTTATAAGTGCCTAGTTTGATTTCCAACTATTTGGGGAGTTATAAATACCTTTCTATTATCAATTCAAGTTTAATTTCTTTATGAGAAAATATTTTGTATGATTCCAATTATTACAATGATTTTAAATTTTTGAGATTTGTTTTATGATTAGATTTCATGTAAATGACTGTTACACGGATATTACATAAGAATGTCTTCATCAGGTATTGGGAGAATGTTCTGTAAATATCAATTAGATCAAGTTGGTCAATAGAATTGTTCATGTCTTCTGTATCAATAGTTTGGACATTTGCCAGCTGTTTGTTGAAATCACCATGGTAGCTTTCCCAAATTCAAATGCCTGTATCCTAGACATGGTGATTTAATTAATCTGAGGTATAGTCTGTTCTTTGGAATTAGTAAAAGATTCCCAGGTGATAGTAATGTGTAGACAAGTTTGAGCCTTGTGTTCTATATCTTCACTGGTTTTCTGTAGGTTTGTTTTACAAATTATAGACTGGGGAATGATGGATTATCCAATTATAGTTGTGGGTTAGTTTATTATTTCAGTTGTATCAATTTTTGCTTTATTGATTTCGTATCTTCTTGATGAATCGATCCCTTTATCTCATTGTTTTAATATGAGAAGGTAAAACAAAAAAATCACCTTTCAGGCCATTCATTTTTCTTCTTCAGTCAGCTGCCTGTTTATATTATTTGCATATATTTATCTTGAGTTGTTTTTTATTTACTTATTTGTCGGGATTCTTATAGTTTCAGAGTTTTATTATATTCTTTCAGCTTGTGGTTTATTTTTAACTTGATTAAGGATGGCTGTTCTTCTGATTAAAAAACTTTTAAATTTAAAGTAATCAAAATTTAAATCTTTCCTTAATGACTAGTGCTGTTTTGTCTGGTGATGTCATAAAGACATCTGTTTTTCTTCTAAAAGTTTAGAGTTTAATTAAGACATTACTTAATTTAATTAAGGTATTACCTCATCTGGAATTTAGTTGGTGGTGTGAGATTAGGATCTAATTTCATATTTTTATATGACTAAACTACAGAACCACCATAGTTTTTTTTCAATAACCAATGAAAAGTTATGCTACAAATTTATACTCGCAAGAGTAGTGAATAAGTGTTCTTTTCCACTATTCAACAAATACTCCCATCAAACATCTTTATCATACACCAACTTCAAGGTATTTGCCTGCCTAATTTTCTTTTTGCCTATGCATGCCAGTACCACGTTTTAAAAGATTGCTTTAAAATACAGTTACCATATGCAGCAATTCCCCTACTGGGAATATACCTGAAAAACTGAAGAGGGTCTTGAAGAGGAATTTTCACACCCCCATGTTCAAAGCAACATTATTCACAACAGCCAAAAGGTAGAAAAATATTTAAGTGTCTGTTGCTGGATGAATGGATAAGCAATGTGTGGCATATACACACGAATATTATTCAGCCTTAAAGAGACATTCTGCAACACGCTGCAACATGGGTGAACATGGAAGAGGGTGATTCCACAGTCTGGAATATGTAGCAGTCCAGCTCATGAATAAAGTAGAATGGTGGTTGCCAAGGGCAGCAGCCAATGGGAAATGAGAATTGTTTAATGGGTATGGAGTTTCGGTTTGGGAAGAAGAAAAAAGATCTGGAGGTCGATAGGAGAAAAATAGAACACACTTAATACTGTTGAGCTTAAAAATCATTAAGATGGTAAATTTTATGTCATGTGAATTTTGCCACCACCACCACCACAAAAACAAAAGATTGAGCAAAACAAAAGTTGTTTTTAATAGTTTTTCTTGGTCTTTGGTGTTCTGCAGTTTCACAGCTGCATGAATTCTTCAGATCAATCCAGTTTAAGAATAAGTCTCTTGAATTTGAGACTCAATTATTTCACAATCTTTGAATCTTTTGACTCCTGCTCACATCCATTCTCTCTGCTCTTTTTGGCACTCCTGTTAGACTTGTGTTGATTTTTTCTCTTCCTTAATTTAGTTTCTGTATTGCATTCTAGCAAATTTCCTCAAATTATGTATCGTAGTTCCAGCCAAATGCACTGTTCTCAAAGACCGAATGAAAGATTCCTTTTGTCCATAGTCCTTAATAGGATCAAGGCCGGGTGAGTGCAAGTTCTGCCAGAAGTAAAAAGCCAAGGTACACATACGGCTCACCCTACAGCTCAGGAGACTGTGTCAAAGGCAAAGCAAGAATGTGAATGTCGCTGGTGGAGTGGCTCAAGGGCTAGGGCGCCTACCTAGCAAGTGTGAGGCCCTGAGTTCAAACCCCAGTGCTGCCAAAAAAAAAAAAAAAAAGTGAATGCCCACCCTGCCAATGAATATTAAGTCAGTGGGATGCTACTTTGCTTCAAGTGCTAGATCAAAACGCAGCGCCACGACGGTCACGTGGCCTGGAACAAGAAAGAGGTACTCTGAAGCTGCGGGTTGCTGTGGGATCAAATGGAACAAGGCAAGGGAAAGGGCTGCACCGCGGTACAGTTAGGGCTTTTTCTCAACCCTAAAGCTTCGCTAAACGGCCCGGAGCACTAGCGATTTCACAACAGTCTTGGGGCGGGAGGAGCTGATTTGGGAAATGGAAAAACAAAACGCCCTTTCCTTGAATTTGAACGGTGTCTCTCTGGCTTAGCGTTTCGTTATACCAACTTCCTCCCAGACAGCAGTCAGGGTTTCCCTCCAACTTCCCAACGCCGAGTCTGGGGCTCCAGAGGAGACAAGGGCTGCTTGGGGAGGGTCTAGTTTCTCGCTCGCAGTTCTGAGCTGTCATTGGCTGTTGCTTTCCCCGGACCCGCCCACAATCCTGATTGGGCGTCAATGCCCTTTTGTTAGGCCTGGGCACTTGGAGATGGGAAGATTGAGGCGGCGGGCGGCTAATGCGCAGGCGTGCACTCTTGAGTCAGGATTGGCGGGCGGCGGGGCGGGGCGGGGCGGGACGGGGCGGGGCTTCCCGCTCGGCGCACGCTCAGTGGGCGAGGAGGGCGGAGCTGCCAGTGTCAGTTGGTCCCAGTGTCCCGGCTTCAGGCGTCCTCGGGATCCCACCCCCTCCCGGCGCCTCCAACGGAAGGTGAGGGCGGTCCTGGTCAGCGGCACTCCTGGCCCTGGTGACTGGGGTGGCGGCCTTGGTACAGCCGAGGGCCTGGAGAGCGGGACGGGGTTCGCGGCCCGGCGCCCCGGGGACCAGGGGGCGCGGCCTTGGGTCTGGGCGTTTGTTGGGTTGCCGGGGCCTGGCTCCTTGCAGAACCCCTGCGCGTTCCCTTTTCCTCATGATCAGGCGCAGCGGTTCCTTTGGGGAGGGGACACCGGCGGCCCCTGATGCAGACCTCTCGCTCTCGGGTCGGGGCCCCTGGCCACTGTCGACCCTGGAATGGTGCTGCAGGAGGACCTGGCGGCCTTGACTGGCCCAGGACTGCCTTGCGAGAACCCGGATGGTGGGAGAGGCCGCCGGGGTGGGCAGGGGGGCCGGCCTCACTGGCTAGCCCCGAAACGTGAGATGGGACGTCTTTCCAGGAGCTGAACGCAGCTTCTGGCCCTGTGTCTTTTCTCAGGAGTCCTACACAACAAATTTGGGGGAGTAAGGTTTGGAAAGGACAAAGAGCATCCATTCCCGAAAGGCAAGACTTCTATGATACAGATACAATGTGTCAACCTAAGACTGTGATGTAACAATATTAAAGATAGCTTGCTACATTGTGTCTACCTATACCGGGGGAGCCAAAGCTACGCTAGCAGCTAGCAATCCTGGTGCTCCGGCTCCTCCCTGATTAAACTGCGTGCCGCTAGCTGCTCTCTGGGGAATCTAGCTTAAGTTTATATTCCCATTAACCAAGTGTTTCCTTGATCTTGTGGAATTTGAAACCCAAAAAAGTCAAAGCAGAACTTGAACAGATCTGAACAAGCTACATTGAAGCTGAAGCCACTGAAAGCAAACGAACACCAAGGAAATTTGATTAGCAGGGTTTTGGTTTTGTTTTTTGTTTTTTCAAAATCTTCACCAAACTTAGATTAGGACAATAAAGTTTCTTCATTACATAATGAGAAAAGCAGGGACTGTACAGACTGATTTGAGGTACAGACATTGGCTGTGAAATGTGAGGCAAGATAACCTATCCTTTTTAAGGTTTAGTGTGCACATCTGTAAATTGCAATTTCCTTCTGTTTATTTGATGAAAGACTGCATGTAAAGTGTTCAGCATATTAATGCACGGTGCCTTTAGGAGTCTTACTGGTTCACTAGCAAATGGCTGACTGAGGATGAAAATCAATTTTAGATGCAGAAAAGTTGGGTGTTGGAGATTGGATGTCTCAAAGCCTCATATCGGAGTTGTGAGCTTAGCTAAGGTGGGAAGAAACAGTCTGGGCTGTAATCTTGGCACTGTGGGCAGCTACTTCTGTGATCTTCAGTATGTCATTTTCATCATTGGCCTTGGTTTCTTTCTTTATAAAATGAGACAGCTGGACCAGAACGGTTTTTCTGAAATTCTTTCTGTGGTCCAAATTAGAGCTAAAAGGTAAAGAAGAGAAGAGCGAACAATTGTTGAATATCTACAGGTCTGCAAACGCATTACATGATGAATCTATTAAGTTCTCAGGACAAACTCACAAGGAACATGCTGTTATTGTCTCCTTTTGACAGATAAGGAACTAAGGCTGAGATTTTTAACTTTGCCTGAGATTGAATCCTATATCTAACTCCATGTTCTTAGTCACTGTGCTGAACTTCTTGAGAAGAGGAATTATTAAAGAAGATAGAGGTATATTTGATAAGATGGCAGGGTGTGAGCATGGAAAAGATAATTTATTTACTTAAATGGATCATTTCCTAATGCTTGTTACACTTCCTGACAGGTGTTCTCTTCATACTCTTTGCTTTCTGGACTTAAATTATCAAAAGTCATTATAGATTATATTCTCTTCCACTAACCAGTGCTAGATACAAATAGGAACCTAAATGTTCTGTGGTTTTTGAGAAAACTTTAAAGGTCTGACCTGAAGAATCTCAGAACCATGCTTATTTCAGAACCAAGGCAGGATTCGGATAGGCAGAGCAGCTTCAGCATCCCAAATTCACTTAATTGTTTCCATACTTGAGATGCTTGGGTCTGGATTCTCCTCTCAGATTTACATTTATGCATAGGAGCACACAGTTTAAAATGAACGCTTAAAAGCATATCGACCTAGAATTGATATAACAACTACAGGTTAAAAAGGGATTTTATGTGATAGTTGTGATCTTGAACTAAATATCTATTAAGGCGTAGTACACTGGTGATGTAGACATTACCAGCTTGACATTGTGCAGTTTGAGGACTGATCCTATTTTGAAAGAAAATTAAGTCAATCCATGACTGAAATACTTTGACGTAAAGAACTCAAACCTTTCCATTCCATATGAATTCATTTCTCTAAACCTACTGGACTTTGAATGTATACAATAGTAGCATTTTGTGGTTCTTCTTATTTTAATAATATCACAATAAAAGAAAATCACTTATTGTTTACTTATTGTTGTGGAGAGGCATCAGTAATGCCCTGGGCTACTTTCTTTAGTAGAATATGGCTTTGCACAGGGCTGCCACACAGAGTTGGGCAGGTTTGCATTTTGCAGAGGGGTGCAGGCTTACATAAGACTGTTGTGAATGGTGTTCTCCTGCCTTGTGGTGTCTCCTAGAGCACTGTCCTTGGCATTGCTTTCGTGCTCCTGCCCCCACTTTATGTTTTTTAAGAGTAATTTTCCTCTAATAGGTCCTCTTGACCTTGCTTTTCTGCTTTCTTTCACTTTTTCAGATGAATTCAAACCATTAACAAGTCATGCGCAGATTTTTCTATTGTCTGTGTTATATGTGGCCAAAATGTCAGAAACTGGCTACTTTTTCTTTCCCTACTGCATTTATCAGCTTCAAATGCTGTGCTTTTGTAGGCTTTTTTGCCCTAATTTTAGTATGTGAAAACTGAATACCCTACTCCTGTTCTATATCAAGATGTATTGATTTCACACTACATTGTTGTGTTGGCTTGTATATCTTACATTTCTTCTCAGCTATCAGGAAAACTGTTTTAATTGTATTCTTAAAAACACTGGGTGTTAGGAATGTTTATTATTCAGCAAGGGTGGTAGCCAAGGTGCAGCCTACAGTTGCTGAGCAATCCTAAGTCACTCACTGTTGTTGAGGGTGGCCTCTATCTTCTTTGCCAGACCTGCTTTAGCCAGATTGGGGCTTGAAATGTTATGAAAAGTGGGGGTGACTGGTACCTTATTATCCCAGGGAAGTGTCCAAACAGGTTTTCATTGTCAATGGAAACTGAGTGTTCTCACCACAAATAAGCTGTGAGGTAAGGCATATGTTAATTGGCTAGATTTAGTCATTCCACGATATATACTTTAAACCATGTTGTCTTCAATAAGTCCATACACTTTTTGTGTCAGTTTAAAAAATAATAAAAAGACATGTTGATTGAATTGAGAGAAATAATTTTTGAAGTGTGATCTTTGAATACTAAAAAAATTAGTAATTTGTTTGAGTTTACATAGATGGACTAACATACAATTTTTCTGAAGTGCAGAGAGCCTAAGAATGAAAGCCATGTGAAAACCAGGTGGAGAGAGTAGCTTTGGTGCTTCTTGCATAAGGGAAAGATGCTAAGAAGACTTGGAGCAGGTTTTTGAAGCATCATTGCTATCAGGATGCAGAATAGCTTTCTCTGCACTGAGTGATGTCTTGCTTGGGGAGCATTCAGTCTCCACACTCATGCTAGGATTATACCAACTGTAGCTGCAGAGGGGGGAGAGCAGAATACACCATGTCCCTTGACTGTGAGTCTAGTTCTAGTGTGTGGTTTTGTAGGCATATTTGTTGGACAGGTCTGGTTTGATGGTTCCGCATATGGGAAGTGGGCATGGGGGATGTTCAGTAAATCCTTGTGGAGAGAACACACTGGCCAGACAACGCTCAGTTCTGTCAGTACAGAGTGCATCGGCTGACAGGCGTGTTTTCCTGCCATTCCAGTAGTGGTTATACATTTTTAGACACTCTGAAAAATGGTAGAGCAAAGCATGCATCATAGGGATTTTGTGCTCTAATACTTTGGAGTCTTACTGAAATGTTGATATTTATTTACTTATCTATATCCCTGAAACTCTTGTTTCGACTTAAGCATAGCCAGGTGACCAATGAACCTGTTTTTAGTCATTCCATATTAGGGTTCCAGATGCCTAGTATTTTTTATGTTTCATATTTTATGTATTAAAAATTAAATAGTACATGTGAAACAATACTTAATGAAGAATGTTTTGAAAAATATTTGCCTTCTCTATGACCATCCCAGTGTAAGAACTGTTTTCATTTTCCTCTTTTTCTCCCTCCCTCAATTTTTTTCTTTTTGTTTTGTCTCCTTTTTTTGTTTGTTTTTGAGACAGTGTCTCACTGTGTATCCCCAGCTGACCTAGACCTGTGATACTCCTGCCTTAGCCTTGCAAATGCTCTGAATACTGGGATTATAGGCATGCACAACCATGCCCAGCTGCTGTGTTCTCATATTTTTGTATATTTTATATACCTTATGTTGGTGAATATGAAATTTTGTAAGGATTGTTCCAGGTTATTATCATAATCATACTTATTTCTAGTAGTCTATTAGAAAGTAGAATTGCACTTTGCTAGACTGAATGAACAGTTGTTTCTGATTTATTGAGTTATGGATAAGATTGAAGTAGAAACTTTTTTTGTATACAACTTTTTCCATTATAATTTTCCTTAGGCTAAATTTCTAAGAGTAAAATTCTTAGTAAAGAGGATTTAAAGTTTTTCTTTTTTGGCAGTACTGAGCTTTGGACTCAGGGCCTTTCTGCTTGCTAGGCAGGTGGGATATGATTTGATACAAGCCCCTCCCCACCAGCCTGTTTGGCTTTAGTTATTTTTCAGATAGGGTCTTGCAGTTTTGCCCAGGGCTGGCCTCAAACCAGGAACTTTTCAATCTCTGACTTCTGAGTAGCTGGGATTGCAGGTGTGCACTACTATGCCTGGTCATTAAAATGTTTTTGTTTTCTGGATCTTGTTTATTATTATACTGCTTTGCCAAAATATGACATGCTCAAGATTTGTGTCCAATATTTGTGTATTTGGTTTTCCATAACTTTGCTAGCATTTGATCGCTGTTACACCTTTGAAAAATAATTAAACACACAGTGTTTAATTTTATATATTTCTTTGGTTGCTGAGAAGAACATTTTCTCTTTTTAATGCTTCTCTTTATAAAACAGTATTGTTTGTATCCTTTGCATATATATCCATGGGTATTTGCTTTTTGCTTTGAAGCCGTGAAACATGTGGGAGGGTTCTGGGTCACATCATTTGACTAAGCCACCATCTTGTGAAAGTTAAGCCTGTCTTGTATTGCTGTAACGTGTCTGTGTTTCTTGTTGCAGACCATTCATCAAGGATTTTTTATCCAAGGCCTAAAAGTTTGTTATCCAAGATGATGAACGCTGACATGGATGGTAGGTTCTTTCTCTTTCTCTGTATGTCTCCGGTTTTGTGGATGCTTTTGCTTTGGTGATGGGGAGAGCAGAAAAGGTTTGGGCATTGGCTAATTTCCTTACTTGTATCCCATCTAGTTTTAGAAAGGGTCTAGGAAGCCTCCGTTCCTTCACTGTGCCACATGCAAGTCATTTTTAATCTTTGCCTCGGTGTCTTCATTTGCAGTGTGGCAGTAGAACTTCACAGGCCTCTTGTATAAGTCAACTAAAACAACGAGTTGAAAAGGCTTTGTGGATTTTGAAGTGCTGTGCTCCACAAGTGGTACCTGATGTTAATTAATAGTAAATCTGAATCTTTTCATTACAGCCGTTGATGCTGAGAATCAGGTGGAACTGGAGGAAAAAACACGGCTTATTAATCAAGTATTGGAACTCCAACACACACTTGAAGGTTCGCTTGCATTTTGTAGTTTTTATGAGTTACGTCTAGTCAATTGAAAAATGTGAATTTCGTTAGTGTGTATAATGTTTAAAACCATAAGGTTCAAAGTCCAGTTAACAGTCATTTGGTCTTTGTCTTTTTCTTTTTTGCCTCCTGCCTATTGCTTTGGTTTTAAAGAACCAAATAAGAGAGTCCAACACTGTTCTTAGGCTTCACTCCGTTAGGTCTAACACCATGCTCTTTATGGCCAGACTCTTTTTAAGTCCCAGCCACATGTAAGGAAGTACACCCCAGTCAAACTTATGTTCCGATGAAAACAGCATTAACTTCAGAGATTAAAAGGACATCTGAGTCTTTTCAACTTCTAAATGCCTTGCATAAAATCAATACTACCATGGAAACGTCTTTTGGTGTTTAGTGAAATTAAGAGGTTGTGTTTTTTTGACTTTTGGCACCAGGGTGAGGAGTATGTCACTCACAACCTTCCAGTGGCTTCCCGTTTGATAGAATTAATAACTCCCAGTGTCTGTGAGTTCCCTGGTACCTTTCAGAGTGAAGTCACACTCTTGCTTCCTACACCCACCTTGAACTGTCTAACCCCTTACTGTTCTTTGACTTTGCTGTGCCTGCTTCTGCTCCAGAGAGCTGCTGTCCTCTGCTTTGACCCTCTTCCCTTAGATACTTACCTGTGTGGCTCATTCCCTCACCACCTTTAGGTCTCTGGTCAAATTCCCCTTATCAAAATAGCCCTAAGTACAGCACCTTCTTATGACCCGTGCTATTGTTGCTTTTTCTCACTGTGTGCTGTGCTGTGTGTTTACACATTTATTTACTTGTTTGCTTTGGACTTAAGCTCCACATCCTCTAATGCACACATGCCCACACATACCTTTTTTGTTTACTTTTGCTTCTAGAACAGTGCCTAGCAGTTATTTGTCAGTATATATCTGTTAAATGCCTGAGTGGAAGTCATTTTTTTTTTTAAATGTGGTCATTAGAACCTGCATCTTTTGAATTTTTAGCTAATATAAAAATACAAAAAATGATCAGTTGCTTAGAAACTGATACCAATATCCAGTACCTGAATTCATTTCTGTTAACCTACTACATATCTTAAACATTTATAGAAAAGAAATGGTTTTATGCTGGTGAGACATTTACACTTTAACCATTTTAAGAGTTAACTGTACAATATAAATGCGACTGATTTGCACTCAGTTTACTTTGTTTACCCGAACCTTTCTAAAGTAATCTAAGTTTAAAATACAAAAAAATTTAATGATTGTGATTTTTTTTGGGGGGTGGTGTGGTGTTGGAGATCAAACCTAGGGTCTCAACATGCTAGGCAAACTTCTACCTCTGAGCCATACCCTCAGCTGACCTTTAAGAATGAATCTTAAATATTTTGTAGCATGGGGTCATTGCCATCATTTTACTGATATTGGGCATTTTTGTTTTTATATAGATCTCTCTGCAAGAGTAGATGCAGTTAAGGAAGAAAATCTGAAGCTAAAATCGGAAAACCAAGTTCTTGGACAATATATAGAAAACCTCATGTCTGCTTCTAGTGTTTTTCAAACAACTGACACAAAAAGCAAAAGAAAGTAAGGGATTGACATCCCTGTGTTTCATGGAATTGCTGCTCTCTCTCTTTTTTTTTTTTTCTTTAAAATTTGGATAGATTCCAAAAGTTACAGTACCTTTGTTTTGTTTGTGGCTTCATTGAATATTTATGAAGATAATGTCAAAACTAGGCAAAATTAACTGCATAGCAGGAGACTTCCCTGAGTGTGTGGATTATGTTAGTCTATGGAAATGTGTAAATGTAGACACTTTATAATTAGAATTGCATATATTTATGAAACTTGAAGATGAATGTTTTACTGAATTTTCTTTGCTATATAAAGTTAGCAATGTCTTTTACTATAGGTTTACTTAGTAAGACATACAAGAAAATAACCATGTTGTGGAAAAGTGACCAAAACCATGCACCGAATGCACAGCTTTATGTATCCTGTCTGCCATCTTGTGCCTCTTCTCCATTTGCCTCCTCCTTCCTGTTTCCCTCCCCTAAAGAAAAAAAATCAAAAAACAGTTTCACATTTGTAAAAGTAATTTTAATAGTTAATCACCTATGAGAGTAACCTAAACTGTAATTGTTGAAACTTAACCAAAATAAGGTACTTTCCTAGCTAAGGCTTGTCAATATTTAGTAATGAGACAGGATTCTGGTTTCTCTTTAATCAATTGAAATAAATTAAGGCTATAAAAAATGAGGATCTTTTCTTTGATGCTGAATTGTCAAAGTGAGATTTGTTAAAAACTTCTTTTTGCACAAAATAACCCACTGGGTATCTGAAGAGATAGGAACTGTGGTCATATTCTTTAGAAATGGAGAACCTTGAGGAAACTAGAAGTAGGGTGGGAAAGAACTCGGTCAAAGTAATAGCCACACTCAAATGTTTTCACTCCAGATTTCTGTGATCTCTGGCACAGAGCAGAGCTTTTGGGGAATAGGTTTGAGTGGATAGAGTTTGACTGACCTTACGTTGGCCACATTGGAGAGACCAGTCACAGAGTTTGGTCTCAGATTTATTTGTAGCACTCAGCAGATTACCTTTTGCAGAATCCATTCAGAGAGTTAGTATCAGAATCTTGAATAAATGGGAGAGTTTTATATGTAGAATAATTGTAATCTTACTCAGTATTTTATCTCACCTATTCTCCCAGAATTTTCTGTAACTTCAACTACTTGGTTTGCAGAGTCTTAGTTATTCTATAACAATTTTTAAAAATATAGTTTGCAGATTTCATTTGGTAAAGAAATCAATATCAGAAATAATATTAAAATGTTATAATAGGAAAAGATTCACTTAAATAGCTGATGGTTGTTAGATTTGAGCTACTTTTAATCATGGAATAATTATGTATTAGTGTAGGATTTGATGAATGACTTTAGCTGTATGAAGATGTAATGGTCATACTGCAAACATTTTGCATCCCTTTTGTGGCCTAATATACAAATATTTAAAATTGTGTTGCAATTCTGCTTTGCCGTTTAATAAAAATCTGTTTCAGAGATTTGTGTGTTTTTTTTATTTATTTTTTATTTTATTATTTTTTTCTTTTTTCATTTTTCTTTTATTATTCATATGTGCATACAAGGCTTGGTTCATTTCTCCCCCCTGCCCCCACCCCCTCCCTTACCACCACTCCGCCCTGTGTGTTTTGATATAGTTGCCTGAGTGAGCTGGCTGTATAGGCATCATGGCATATCCAAGTTTGTTCAGTGACACAGAATAGTGTATATCTTATTTAAGTACCTGGTTACTGAGTGTTAGAGAAATGATACTTTTATTAGTACCCACATTATAGGATCTTCTACATTAGATAAAAAAAATAAAAGCCAAGTGTTGAAAGAACAGGATCCATGATATCTGGGGGAAAGGAAGGCTGTATGCTTTAGGTTAGGCTAAGCTTTGGTCACACAAGATCCCGCGATTCAGAGTATGAATGCAGATGCTCCTTCCTCTGCAGTGGCCCGGGCTCAGCATAGCAGGCCAGCAGTCTTAGCTGCACACACTATTTATAGTAACTGGGTAGAATTTGGCTCTTCCATTTCAACTCTGGCTTCTAAGCCACGCTGCTTACTGTTATTCTAGTTTGCAGGCAAAGAGAGCAGAAGTGCACATGTGCACAGTTTTATGGGCTGGGTCTGGAAATGGCCTTTATCTTCTTGCACCACAGTTGTCAGGAGACTTCGCCACACCGGAAAGCAAGAATGGCTGAGAACGAGTCTCCTGGCTGGGATACCGTATTCTGGCTACAGCTTTATTACTGTGAAGCAGGTGAAGGATTTTGGTGGCCACTAGCAGTCTCAGCCACAACCTTGTCTTGTTACTAATTATCTGTGCACAGCCCTCTTCCTCACACAGAAAGTGCTCCAACACTTCTCATCTAGCTAATGAGTTAGCTCAAAATCCAGGATCTTTTTTTTTTTTTTTTGGTGGTGCTGGGGTTTGAACTCAACTCAGGGTCTTTGCTAAGCAGGTGCTTACCACTTGAGCCACCCTGCCAGCCCCAGGATCTCTATTAAGTGCCATCGGTTTAGATGTGGCTTCTAATAGACTGACAGCCTCTTAACTCATAGGTAAAGTAAGTGCTCTCACCTCTGTCCCTCATTTGTAATGTGGGATGGATAGCCAAAATAAAATCTCCCAATTTAGAAACTGGAATAAAATCACTAGAATTCAAAGCAACTATGGAAAGCAGCTTGGAGGAGATCCATCCTTACTAGTGAACAGGTTCCTTGATTAGACCTTGATTCTGATCTCCCTTGTAAGGACTTCCTTTTTCACTGACCTCCATGGCTTCCTGTCTGTAGCTGTTCTGTATGTTTTCCCTCATAGAGTTGTGAAAGTCCACTTCAGCCTGAGTTTGTGCCCATCATTGCAAAGCCAAGCTCATGTTTCTTTGGCAGTACAATTTCCTGGAAAACTCAGGTCTTTTCTTTATGCTTCTCATGCTGTGTGCCAGAAGCCATAGTCCAGCTCTTTTCTAGGTCAGATTTTCAGGGTATGCTTTCTTGCTTCAGGACCCTGCTGCTTTTCAGTGGGCCAACTGAAAATATGACTGCCATGGGAACACCATAACCAGATTATTGCTGCACGGCCGGTTCCTGAGGCTCAAAAGTTGCCAGGGAAGTCTTACGGGGCTTCCCCTTTGCCTCCCACACCTAAAAATTACCATTTTGAACCTTTCCTGCTATTCCCTGTTAGGGTCCTAGTAAACCAAACTTTCTCTTCTCTTCTCAGTCATTGGCAAGTTCTTTTTGTTTGTGCTAACTTGCTAAAAGCATCATGGAACAACCAGTTCATTTCTGCCTTTTTTCCAGCTACTACCCCTAGTGCTATCAGCTTAGTAGGTGACAAAATGCTGCCCTTGAAATTTTTTCCCCACTTTCTTGTCACATGAATGGGCGAACCAATGGCATATATTTGTTTTTGTGTGGCAGTACTTCACTTCACAACAACAATTTCTGTGTTGAAAATATAAGCACGAAATAGTGTACGTAGAGACTGTATCTAGCTTGACAAAGACTCCCTGGTCAAATTCCACACAGGCTCTTCTGAGCTCTGTTCATGTGGGCCTCAGTTTTGGTCCGTGGAGTACAGATTTAGCAGGAATACTGCTAAATCAGTTTAGAGAGTCTCACCACCAGTGACCACCCTGGCCTGCCTTCACAAGAATCTAGTAATTTCCCACCCACCAGCCCTCTCACTCTGCTAAGCATAAATTTCTGGGTGTGTTTGCTATATTAGGAGTTGGGCCTGGTCTCTTTGCCCACAGTGACCATCTTGACACCTATCACAATAGTCCTGAGTACAGGAAAGTATCAAAATAATTTTTCTTTCAATACTTCCACCTCTGCATGCTGGTGGGGATGGTGATTGGCAGGAAGACTCAGCAGGCTACTTGTAAGAACTAAATGTCTGTGTGCTTCCAGAAGAAATCCTAACATACATACAATGTGATAGAATTAGATGGGGCTTTAGGGAGATCGTGGGGGTGGAGCCCTGAAGACTACAGGCTGGATGACATGGCACATGCCTGTAATCCCAGCTACTCCAGAGGCACAGGCAGGAGGATCGTGCTTGAGGCTGGCCCTGGGAAAATGAGAAGCCCTATCTGAAATATAATTAAAGCAGCAAAGGGCAGGATGTGGCTCAAGTGGTAGAGTGCCTGTCTAGTAAGCACAAGGCCTTGAGTTCAAACCCCAGTATTGCTTTTCCCCCAAAAAACCCCCAGATTACTCTCTTGCTCTCTTTCTGCCACTTGAGGACACAGCAGGTAGACCGCAGTCTGCATCCAGAGGAGGGACTTCACCAGACCTAACTACTGTGAGCTGTGAGAACTGGGTTGTGGTGTTTTGTTAAAGCAGCCTGGACAGACTGAGGCACCCCTTTTCTTTCCCAGGGCTCCCTAGTAGGGCTTCCTTCAGTACTGACACTGCCGCTCCATCCAGAACATCCTGTTTCCCTTTGGTCATCACGTACAGCAAGTTACTACAGACCACAATCAACTGCAGGGCAGCTGTCTGAGAGTTTGGCATTTTTCAGATTTTATGAAGTAGTATGACTTATCTACCAATATGGTTTGGGGGAGCATCTGAAATCAAATAAACTAACACTTCTGCAGCAAATCATACGAGTGTTAATACAAAGTGGGGTGAGGAATGACTGTAGGTGCATAGCAAAGCCCATTTCGGAGCTCAGGACTCCCTGCCAAGTGAGTTGTGCCACCCTGGTGGAAAAAACCTTTCTCCAGAGATTTTTTATTTTAGAATTGCACTTGTAACAAAACCTTTTGTACAAGAGTAACCCGAATCATGTAAGCATTTACCTGTAGTCAGTTAATGTTGCATTTTTATTCCTGTTATTCCGCTCTTTGATACTTTGTTCAATGATGCCATAACCAAGATGATCACCAGTGAACATCAGAGACTGTAAGTCATGAAGGCACAGAGATTGTCATTACATGGAAGACTGTTTAAAAATTGGAAGAATGACTTAAATGCCTCCTAGCTACTGTATCCAGAAAACCAGCTACACTGTTTCACTAAAATCAGATAGGTATTTAAAAGATGAATTTACTATAACAAAGACTTCGTGTTGTCCGTAGAACATAATTTATCTTATTGAGGGCAACACTGAGCCGTGATGACAGAAGCTCAAGTAACAGTATAATCAAGCGTACAATGTATTTGTTCCTTGTTTTAAATTTCATAATTATTTATAGATGGCTTATCAGTGTCTATTATGAAAACTTGAAAATACTACCCTAACACATTTAGAATGGATGTTATATTCATTTAACAAACACAAAATATGTGCTAAGATACTACATGAGGTGTTAAAAGGTCATTTTCCCATTGTCCTTCTGTCCATCTTCCCCCAAACCACCCTTATTCTTCTGTGCACTGGGGTCTTAAGAGACAAAGTCTGATGTTTCCAAATGCATCCTCTCCCTCCCATCAACTTGCCTCATCTGGCCTGTCAGAATAGGAAAATTTTATTGCCTAAGCTTCTCATAGCTGCCCTATTATGGAAATGCATGGGAGCTATATTCTTTTGGAAGAAATTATTGAAATTTATGGAGAAATGCCATTCTGTTTCAATAAGTTACTTACATGAAAGATGTAGTTATCTTAGTCATCTGATACCTCCTTTGCAAATCTTGCTAAAGTTAAAACAGTCAAAATTGAAAAGAGAACCCAAACCTTCTTAAATGTGTAGTGTAGTATACTTGTGCTCTATTGTGAATAGGTTTTACTGAAATCAAAACCTCTTCGGGACTAGAATTCTCAATGTTTATGGTGCATTATTCATTGGCAGCGGTTTGTTTTAACATGTCAGCCCTTACATCCCGTGTCTCCTCCAGATGAGGACTTCAAAAACCCCCTACATGATGTCTTCCCAGAGAAATAATCACTGGAAGCAAGGCTGGCTGAAAAACATTGTCAAGAAAAGGGAAATTACTTGAGCCTGATAAAGTTAAAAACACTCTAAAAAAGTATAACTAAAAGGAAAGCACAATACATTTATTGTTCTACTTTTTAGAGAAAAGGAAAAAGAAGTCATTTTAAGCAGTAAACTTAGATTGGGCCACTAAAGGAAGAAGCCACTGACAAGGACTCTGCATAAAGCACACATGTGATCACAGCGTTTGAGTTTTGGTTCAACTATCAACTGTGGTGCATCCAGAGGGCAACATGCACAGGAATCAACAGTCACCCGGCAAACTGGCTCAGATACTGCCACTGCAAGCTCTGGAGTTTAACCAAATGTTCAAGGAAACTGGATTTACAAATAAGAAAGTAAAAACGGCTTTAGTCAATCTTTAGAAAAAGTGTTCACATACAAGACACTCATTGGGCAAGGAATTCATAAAGTTAAAAACGGATTTATCTCCTGAAGTAGCTGCTTACTTTGAGAAATAGTCTCACCTAAATTATTTAATATGTCTAGTTCAAAGCAAGAGAGGGGACCGGGTCCTTGCAAGATGTGTGAAGTTCTGTTAATGTTAGTAAATACCAATCATGGTTAAGCTCTGTATTAAACTTGCTAGCACCGCTCTGTGAAAGTGAGAACCTGGGAACCAGGGATATCTTGCACCCCTGCACTTTCAGTCCACTATGAATTAAGAGCAAGAGCTGTTGCTGACCGAGCTCAGCTTTGGTGAGGGACAGAACTGGAACCTCACTTTCCCTACATGCAGGTTCTGAATGTACTATGGGAATGAGTTGCCTGGGAACGTGGATGGGGCTTGTCCAAAGATGGGGTGCAGTGCCCAGAAAGGATCCCACATCTTCCCCAGCTAGCCTAAGGTTTTCTGGAGACTTAGTATGAAGTCAGAGTATTGAATCCTGTAGGCTTGAAGATTTAAATCACCTTCCAAAGGGTTTACAACCTGCTCCTCGAACATAGCCTGTGAGGTAGTTCAGAGATTCCTGATAACGCCCTAAATGAAGAGCTAAAGGAATAGCTGTTCTTATGGGAGAACACCATAAAGGTGATAGTAGGTTTAAGATAGACATGAATTTGTAAGGGGAAAGCAAGATTCAAAGTTAGCCACTAGAATCTCATGATAATTAATAAAATAATTTAAAGCCTTCCCAGTAATAATCTATATGTAAACAGGGCCTAATTTAGAGAAGAAAAATGTTTAAATTTTATTTCCAAGAGCAACGTAAGCACAGAAACTTTGTAAATGGGAGAAGCCACCTTGGCATGAAGCATCTAAAACAGTTTGAGAAAACTCTGTATGCCATTTGGTTTTGACAAGTTAGCATATTCAGATGTAAAGTATGTTGCAAGATGACCTGCTGACACTTAGACATCTCTTTTGTTGACATGAGTGCCAACAAAGCACGCTTTTAAAGGAATCTATAATTTAAGTGGATTAACATAAACTAGGTGGATGTGGAACACTTGCAACACCTTCAAGAGAACCATAGGAAACTATCGCACTTAGCTCTGTACAACAGAACATTCTCGGTTGTACAACAACTAGATGTCTCCTGTGCAGCCACTGAAGCAGAAATTCCAATAACCGATTTTTCCATTACTAGTGAGGCTGCTGCTCTGTAAAACGATCTTCAAACTGTTAAAACTATAATTTGTAATGATATGAATCTCAAATTTGATATGTAACTCTTGCCACTTTTATTCTAAATTCAAAGACCAGGTAACTTCAAAGTTGCTTTTCCCCCCTTGAAAAGAAAGACTAAAATATCTGGAAGAATAAAATTGCTAGGTGGTCAGCAGGTTTGCACAGGCTGATTCAAGGTCAGTCTGGCACTCCAGTCTTATAGTGCCGAGTAGCGCTCAGGAGGCGGGAACGCCTGGGTTCAGTCAGTCCTTCCGCACCCTCCTCTTGCGTACGGACTTCACAGGCCCGTCTCCAGAGCCTGTGCTCTCATCTGCTTCTTTCATCTAGCAAACGAATTAGAGAAATGTTTATTTTAGTATAATACAACTCAATTGACCATTTTACTTACGAGTGAGAACTTGGTCTCAGCGGCATGGCTAGTTAAGAGTCATGATTTTCCGTTGTGGCACAGTAAAGCACGCAACGTTCAGCAAGATACTTCTGTAAGGAGTGAATCGCTGAGCTGCTTGCACAGAGACTTAAAAATTTTTGGCACATAGTACTTCCAGAAAAATCAGCAGAGGAGAAAAACAAAATTTAATGGCTTGACTTTTTTCCTTCCTTTAACTCTTTTCCTTTCACAATATGTATTGGTACATAAAGTGAACTTTTGGGACACTATTATATAGCTTTATATAAAATAAAAGCTATTTCACGAGGGTACACTATGCAAAAGTCAACTTATTTCGTTTCAGCTTACTGACAAATATGTGAAAAGACTAAAAAACTGGAGGATGGAATGAAGGTATTGTTAACCTACATGTGTGCGCGCACACACACAACACGAAGAGAACATGACTGTATGGGTGACTCTATGAGGGATCATGGAGGTGAAATACTGAAAGACAACCTTAGAGTGAAGACGCTGAAACATAGCATCTGTGCATGAAGACAACATAAGGTGATTCGAGTAAGCTGCTGAATAACAGGACAGCAGGGAAGGGAAGCAATGGGGGGTAGTCTGAGTAAAGCACAATATACACATATCTGAAATGACAAAGCAAACCCCTTGAGCTGTCGATATACACTTTAAAAATATGAAGGACAGGAAGGGAAAACAGGTTCTGTTGGGGGTGCATACCAGTGAAGGGGATAAGGAAAGGGAGTGAGGGAGAATCTGGTGGATGTTTTGTATTCATGCACTGTAATAGAAGAATGAAACCTGTTGAAATTGTTGTAAGAAGGGGGCAGAGGGGAAAGGAGGGCGAACATGGAGGGGGCGAATCTAATTAAGATATATCTCAAGCACATGTGAAAATGTCGCAGTGAAACCTCCCTATACAGTCATTATATGCTAATAAAAAAAGAGAAAAAAAGGTATTTTTAAAGTTGCACAAAATGCTTTGTGGACAAATGCACTAGAATAGACTGGAGTGTCCTTGCTAAGGGCAGGCTGAGCAGTGAGTGCCCAAGGCTCTGGCTGGAGGGAACCCTCTTCCCTCTCCCGTACGCGCGATTCATGCCACGTGGTGACCCTCAGAGTCTCTTTAAGTTCCAGAGGCAGTTAAGACCACAACCACTATGAATATTGTGAAAGTTCTGGAAAATTTACTGGGGCTGTCCTCCAACAGACACAACAGAAGGCTCATTTCCTCCCATGCCCTGGACCAGGTGGGGCACACCTCAGGTCAGCAGCAGCATGGCCACTGGCGACTGGGGCAGGAGCAGCTCTTAAAGAGCATAGGCTGGGCTGATGCTGGCTGAAAGAGAGCTGCCGTTCTCAGTTGGACTTGGATGATTTATGATTCTGTAAAACTGGTTAACTTTAAAAAGGCACTGTGGAAGCTCCATCTTATATCAGGAGGCAAAGAGGGGTAAGCATGTGAAATTAGTCAGAAAAAAAACGTAGGTCATTAAAGATTTGAGAAAACACTATCAGGCAGACAGTGCTCAATGTCCAGTACACAAAATATTTCAACAGGTGAGGGCACTGAGACAATAAAACAGCTTAATATTATAATATGAGCACGTTTTAAATGTTTACACATTCTGCTTTTATGGAAGTGGTATTTTGTGGATAACAATTAGACATACAAACCAGCTTGTTTCCCTTTAAGGAGGAGCTCACCTCATCCTCAGATCCAGATTTATTTGACTTATTACCCTCTTCTTGCCCTTCGACAATTTCCATTTCCTCTTCACTCTTTTCCTCAGGTTCACCTTCCTCTTCTAGAAGACAGATTTTATTAAACGTGAAGACTCAATGAATTAGAGTTTTGCTACCAGAAGGTATTAAATACAAGAAGGGGGATTTCTTTAATTTGCAAATTTTAAAAGCAACTTTTCCCTTCAAAGTTAAATGAATTGCAAGTATTCATTATGCCCCATTATAAACATAAACTATTTTTGAGACAAGGGACAAATTTATAGAATTCCATATGTAATATGAAAACCAAAGAATAATCATCTATATTATTATGTTCATGTCTCAGTAATGAGGCAGGCTATAATTAGGAAAAGTTTGGGACTCATAGAAAAATCCTGCATTTCAGATTGGCCATGCTTTGGCCCAGGCACCACCCATGCTCCTCCCCGCCACCCCCCCAGCCCCCCCCCCGCATTGATTATTGATGGGAATCACCTGGCTCCTTCCTTTTAAAAGCACCTGGAGAAGAGAAGCGCCCTCTCCACCTCCAGATTCCACCTGTGGCCACCAAGCTCCCTTTTGTGTTTCCCTTCCTAACTTTTAATAAACCCCATTTATACCACGTGTCCCACCATGGACTCTTCCCGGTGGGACACAAAGAATTTGGAAATCTGATTGCAGGCTCCACCCTGCCGACAACAGTAAGATCAAGGGAACTTCATTTTTGGTGTCCTTTTTGTCCTTTGACATGCTGTTCATTTATGTTTGCACTTTATGACATTGTCACCATCATTACAACAAGCCCTAGGAGCTGCATAAAGTAAAGACTCCTACTCCAGCACAACTGGGATGAGGGGAAGCTGACTAACCATCACAGCTGCCTCTTCCCACGTGTTTACACAAGGTGGGTGTGTACTTCCCAAAATAAAGCCCTTGTGATGCTTAAATATCCAAAATGAGGTATTCAGAGATGCCCTCCGAGGCTCATCAAAACATCAATATACAAGCACTGGCATTTTACAAAGATGGGCTCTGAGAACTTACAACCTAAAGGATTTGTCTTACATCCTGTGATGCACAAGCACGAACACACACAGATATATATGCACATCTGCACACACGTACATATACATATGTAAATGTGCATTTTGTTTAGAAAGTGGCTTTAAAATCAATGTTTCATCAACTACTAAGTTAAAAATAATGCTTCAAGATATAACGTGTAAAGGGCTCAATTTGGAATTTGGCTTGGGACACCTGGCACAACAATAATTTTATTTCTACCTAGAGGTGCGTAAGGAGGCCTTAACTGATAAGATACTAACAGCCTCAACTCCTCAGTTTGAAAACCTTCAGGAGTTCAGTGTGGGGTGGGAAGGGGCACATGCTTCAGCGACACTGATAAACTATCAGATAAACCACAGCCACAGGAAGACCTGCATTGACTTCATTACCATAGTCATCTGTCTTTACCTTTTCCTCTTCCTCAGAGGCCATGATAACTACCTTGAATGTCACTTGCATTCTCAGAAGCAAGTAAAGTCCTTGCAAAGAGCTATGACATAAGGGATTCAAAGTGCTAGTTCTAAAGCCAATTTACCTTCCAAAAACACTGGGCTGATAATGGGTGGTGGGGAGGGGTGCTGCCCAGGACTGTTACTTCTTGCTGAGGAAGTTGTGCTCCTGGGAGTTCAGTCATATACATTTCCTGATGAGTAAGTTCAACATCTAGTAATTTCAAGACATGAGCTTGGTCCAGGCCCAGTCACAAACAGTCTCACCTTTTTCAGGAACTTCACCATCTCTGCGCTTTTTTTCCTCTTCTGAGTCCACTGGTTTCTCCAGCACTGGTTTTTCTTCCTTTACTTCTTGTTCCAATGCACCCTTTGTTTGTGGTTTGCATATGTCAGTTTTTTTATACTCTGTGACTTCATATTTTTTCTGTGATAGTTAAACATAAGATGTTTTTACTAAAACCAGTATTTAGAAAAAACAACTTTTTTTTTAGCACTATCAGCAAAATCTTACAGGAAATTTGGTTTATTACAATTAAGAATCACTTGTTCAATTCAAAGAACTCTTAAACATTAACAAATTTGAAACAGAAAGTTAGGCAAAATTCATTTTCTTTACCTTTCCTTTTCTTGGCCAACAAAATGAAGTGATCAACACTACTGGCAATCCTGCTGCCACAAGATAAATGAGCCAAAGCCATGGGCGCTCTCTGGTAGCTTCCAGTAGCTGCTGGAATACCCCAGGCTATAGGAGAAATAAGTGTAAACATGCAAATCAAAATTTACAAAGCTCCACTGGGAAATACTGCCTACAAAATACATCCTACCTAGGTATTTTATACTAGGGAGTGATAACTTGTAAGCCAAAAATTTATTATTTTCTCACATTATACTCAGTAAGGGCCAATTTAACTATTAGCCTAGGAACTATGGTTGTACATACATAGAAACTGCCAGCAAGAATAGCGACTTTTCTTTTTTGGGGTAAATTTCAGGATAGCACTATTTTTTATGGGTATATTATCTAGTTCATTTAGAAATATGACAATTTAGCAACTCTGACAATTCATTCTATACTTTAAAATCATATCTCAGAATTATTGTGTCTTTTTTCCTTTATATATAAAGAAATTTCACAAATGACCCTAAGAAAACTGTTTTTCTATTAAAATCCAAGTGTTTTAGTTCAAAAAAAGTTTCAAAAGGAGAATTCCTTTTTGACTCTTTTGATGACCAATGCCAGTGTCCAAAGAACCAATGTAAGATAAGAAATTTTCTTTACAGCTGACTGACTCTAAAGATGCACTGCATGTGCTGAAGATTGAGCTTAACCTTTTCTATAGTCTTTAGGACTTGGAAAAAACACAGAGCACAATTTAATAATGTTAATTTTGTTTTGTATTTCTCTAAGCAAAAGGTAGTAAAAGTGAGTATTGATTACTACTACCACTTAGGCCTTCAATTGGCAAGGTGATGAAGATATAAGGAGTCTTATTTCTATAACCAACAACTAGGCATTAAATTCCATTAAAGCTATCATAATTCAATGAATACAATGAGAACTTAGACATGTGAATACAGATATTATTACATAGTCAGTCTATAATGAAGTTGAATAACACAGAAAGGCTAACTTTATTGTCTTCATTAACTCAAGTACATTTCCATGGCATTTAGTAATTATTGCACATTGATTTGCCATTATGGGGGCCATTTGTATAACCTATAGCCAGGACCACGTCCTATCACTACTGTACATAGTTACATCACTACCACCGTGGTCACTACCATACCTCATTAGCCTTTGCTACCATTATTTTGAATCTCCACCCATCAGTAGCCCATCGATCTGCTACTTCCTTTTCTGAACAGATAATAAAATTATCAAAGTAGATGTCAGGGGTCATAGACCAAAGCTCTAAACCCAGAGCTGTAAAAGAAGTCAGAAGAAATGGATGATCATCTTCAAAGTAATCCGGATTTGGAATTTTTTGTGGACTCCAGATTCCCTGGAAGAAACAATAATTGAAGACGTTTTCAAATGAAATAATTGTATTATAAATACTGCTCAAGAAATAGTTGCTGCTGAATGAAATTAGCAATAAATAAGTGAGGGATAGGAAAACTGTCAATGCTATCAATTCGTTAGTGATTTACTGGACACAAATCTTGTTTCTTCTCTTCTTTTCATGATGTTCTTCATGAATATTACTAACTTTAAACTCTAAAAAAAAGCAAAGTAAATCCAGCACACAAGGAAACATAGGCAACTAAATTTCACAAGTTAAACTATTTTAAACAATTTGTTAGATTAAATAAAGTTAGACAAGGCAAAATGTCATTAAAGTTGCCCAAATCACATCATTTTATAGCAAAGAATGCAGATAACTCCTCTTAGCATGTACCCACGACAGACATCACTAATCAGCATGGTTGAGTCTCAGAATAATTATTCAATACAAAAGTCTCCTTAGCTCTTAATTGACTAAACAGTCAGTTAAGGCAAATAAATTCAACAACATAATCATTTCTCGACTCACTCTGTCACCAATGTGTCTATTCTGTGCCAGGTCCTGAGCCAGATGCTCGGGATGCAGAGGTAATCAAGACAGACATGGTTCCTCAATTATAGCATTTAAGGTCTCGTGAGGGAGACAGTCATTAAACAAAGGCCCAAAGGAAACATTTTGTGACAAACGCTATGAAGAAAAGCTCTAGTGAATAATTAGAAGATGTAATGGGATGTATGATGTTAGAAAATGTCAATGAATACTTACAAAGATAAAACTAGAGGGTTAGATGATAACACAGAGAATTTTAACATAAATAGCCAGGTCTACACAAAAGATGTCTGATTCATATTTTAAAAATTCTGAATTTTAATAATGTTAAAAATAAGGAGCACGTTAATTAAGCACAGGCACTAATTATTGAAATGTACCATGTGAATCCTCTTGATCAGAATTCATTTACTTACTTCTAAGGAAAACTTTATTCCAAAGTGAGCACCACTTGATTATTAGGGGAAATATAGCATGAATTGGTTTATCTTCAGTGCTTAATTTCATTACCCTACAAAATTCTATAAACACTGCTTTACTTTTAAACATAAACTAGCTGAGGTCTGTTTTCTTTGACTTCATACAATTACATACAATCAAACCTATAAAAGCTAACTGAATGTTACTAATAATGAAAATACCAAGGTGTTTTTAACTTTACTAAGGAATTGGGACAACTGGTTATTACCTGGTAGTCAGGATTATTGACCATTGGCGGCCTCCATATTCCTTTGTATTTTGGGTTATCTATCATGGGAGGTTTCCACTCACCACATCCAATCTGACAAGCTGGATTAAGCATACGAGGTGCCTCCCATTCCCCATCCAGGTCTTCATTCCTTAAGACATTAGAACACAACAAATAGAGTAACTTTCAACTCTCCTGCAAGCTACATAAGCTCGTAAACAAAAAGCAAGTAAGAAACTTTTGCAGCTGACATGTGAAGATACAGAATGCCTACCAGTCATCAGGTTTTATAGCGTTAGGATTCGGGATGAATTTTGGTTCATCATCAAGCCAGCCATTAGGTTTAGTAGCACTGAAGTCTTCTATTTGGGCAGGTTCATTTTCATCCCTGTTGAATACATTATTTTATGTTAATCAATAGTTATCCAGAAAGTTCTAAAATGCACATCATGAAATTCAGAATGTACTGTAACAGCACTTACCACAGGCCACAAAACAAGGGAGCCATGCAACCGTGGACTGAAACTTCTGACACTGTGAGCCCAAATCAAACTTTCCTCCTTATACTGCTTCTCTGAGGTATTGTGTCACAGTGATGGCAACTGACTAAAACAAAAAACTGTACTGAGAAGTGGGGCCATGGCTGTGATGATGCCTGACTATGTGGTTCAGACCAGACTGCTGATCTACAGGAATAATTTGGAAAGGTTTGGAGAAGCTGGCTAGGAAAAGCTTAGAAAGCTGTAAACAGAGCTTAGTGGATGATTGTGATGAAGCTCAGAAGACCAGAGTGTTGACAGGAATGCAGACAGAAAAGTGTGCTCATGAGCTTTCTGATGGGAGTAGGATTCTCTTGAGGACTGGACTAGAGGCCATTCAGGTTACATTCTGGCCAAGAACTTGTCCACATTCTTTTCATGCCCTGAGACTTTGTGGGAGGGCTGACTTGAAAGGTTACTGACTAATTAATCATGTGTAGGAAATTTCAGGGTGGCTCAACATTTAGGCTTTGGCAAGGGTATTACTGGCTGCTTTTAACCAGACTTATAGTGAGAGTCAGTTGCAAATAGCAAGCAGAAAGATTGGAAAAAATTAGCAGTTTGGCCAGAAAAGAAGTCTATATAAAGTTGCAGCTAAGGATGGTTGCTAAAAAGGTTAGTATCATTAAAAACAAGTCACATATTTTGCATCAGTAGAATAGGAAAGATGTCTTGAGGGCAGCTCTGATATTAGCAAGATGCCACCCATTGTAGGCTCAATGGTGAAAAACTGTAAACTTGTTTGAACGACTTTGCTTTGAGAAGAGAGCCCCAGGACAACACCCTATTGGCACAGAGCCCCAGGTTGCACCTAGGGAATTGTTTCCCTGGGATTTACTTCTCCATGTTCCTAGGCCCTGAGAAGCTGCTGTAGCTACAGTCCAAGGGAGCCTGGCTACTGCTCCTGCTGATGACAGACCTTGGCGTTAGTGCTGGCTTTGCTGGCATGCAGAATGCAAGAGTTACAGGGTCATGGAGGCTTTCTACCATGACTTCAAAGGATAGCCTGAGCGTCTAGACAGTCTGTGTGTGGCAGGGTTGGAGTCCCTGCAGGCAGCCCCTGAGAGGGCAGTGCATGAAGTTGTAAGAATGAAGATGCAGTGGAGATACCAGGAGGCTGGAGATGCCAGGAACAGGGGACACCTGCTGAGGGAAGCTGCAGACGGCCATCAGAGTTAGCCCAAGAAGGATGCCAACCAGCACAGTCACATAGTGGGGGCTGCCCAAGTCTTTTGGAGTTTGCATCACACCACAATGTGCCCCAGGTGCCAGAGACAGAGCTACAGGGTAGTGTTTTTCCTCCTGGGTTTCAGTCTTGCTTTAGGCCCCTATTCCTCCAATTGAGAATGGAATATTTACCACATGCCATTATATCTTGGGGATATGTAACCTATTCTTTTGACATTTTACAGGGGCTCACAGGCAAGATTCTGCCTGAGTCTCAGAGGAGATTTTGGGCCTGGACTTTTGGGGGCATCTATTAAATTGTACACAGTGAACTTGGACTTCTGAGCAATGCTGGAACTGTTAAGACTTCGATGACTCTTGGATACAGACTGAATGCATTTTGCATCGTAAGATGGACATGAGACTCTGCGGCATAGGGCAGAATGCTCTGGTTCACATCTTAAATACCCTCCAAAAGCTCAGGTCTGGTCCCTAAGGCAGCGAGGTTCCGAGGTGGGACTTTGGGAGGTGGCTGGGTCATGACCTCACGATTGGATTAATCCATTTTCAGAGGCTTAGCTTAATGGGTTTCAGGGAAAGGACTTTGTTACAAAGACAAGCTCTCTCCCTCTCCCTCTTTGCTTCCTGGACCCAATGAGGTGAGTAGCTCTGCTCCAAGATGCATCCTTGCCATGGTGTTCTGCCTCAGAGGCCCAGAAACAAAGGGGTCAAGTGACTGTGGGCTGAAAACTCTGAAACTGTGACCCAAAATAAATCTTTTCTTTGTCTAAGTTGATTATCTTATGTATTTTGTCACAGTGGGAAATCTAAAACTTCTACTATGTGTCAAGACTGTTCTAGAAACTCCATTTTTCTACACACACACACACACACACACACATACACACCCCTTCTTCATGACTTTCCAAATAAAATTTGAGTTGCAAACTAAACTGAAATCAACTCTCCAGATATACAGACTTAAACTTGCCTGCTGATACCAATGTTGAGTCTCTGAGTGCTCAGAATAAAGAGGTTAAAATTTGAAGAAGCCTTTCTTTTATCACCTCATAAAAGAAATCTAACACATTTCACCACCCAGAATAAAGCTGTTATCTGGACTTTCTCAAATTTAAGGAGAAATTTGCTGTCTGTAAGCAAACAGATGTGAAACAATGTTAGTTCAAATGGAAGGGGCAGCCCTACCTCTTCTGATAGAATGAATGCATGAAAATGATGCACTCAAAGCAACTTTTTATTAATTTTATTTAAAGTCAGACTGCAATTCCTATCTCATACAAACTACTTTGCCTTAAAAAAAGACATTTTTACTATAACCAGTCTTTCTCGATCCATACAAGAGTTAACAAGTTCACATGTTTGGTTTTCCTGGAACAACACACTACATTCAGAGCAGACAGTAACTCCAATGTTTACAAACAAACAAAAGCATAGTGAAATGGGAATGAAATGAAGCACAAAGGGAAAAACTGATTTAAAAACAGTGAGCAGATCCTCAGTGATGTGTGGGACAATCTAAAGCAGTCTGACATATTTAAGTGCAGTCCTCTCAAAAAGGACAAAGAGGAATGAATGAAGATTTGAAAGAATAATGGCTAAATATTATTCAAACGTGATATAAACTATAAGCCAACATTCCAAGAAGCTCAAAGAACCCAAAGCAAGATAAATATAAAGAAAACTACATCAAGGTACAACAAAATCAGACTGTTGAAAATTGGTAATAGTGAAAAAAAATCTTAAAAAATCAAACAAATGACAAATTAGTTAGAGGAGAACAAGGATGAGGGTAATGGCTGACCTCCCTTTAGAAAGGACAGTCTGTTTAAAATAGCATTAATGTGTAGTTGTCAGTGAAAAGCCCTTCAAAAATGAGGGCACTGTAAAGAGGCTTTCAGACAAATCGAAGCTCAGAGAATTCAGTGAAGCAGAAACACACCACCATGTGTCAAAGAGGTTTTCCAGGCAGAAAGGAAATGAAAACAGATGGGAATTTGTGTCCACACGAAAGGAAGAAGAGTAGCAGAAATGGTACATGTGTGGGTAAAGTAAAACCCATTTACCCTCATGTTGAAAGGATGCTGAGTAGAGGTGGATATGTGTGGCTTCCACAGTGCAGGCAGATGTAAATGTAGGAAAACAGTACAAAGGAGGTAAAGGGGAATTATAAGACTCATTCAAGGTTATTTACATATGAAGTCGACACTATTTGAAGGTAGATTAGATCAGATAAAGATGTACTGTAAACCCCAAAGCAACCACTAAAACAAACCAGGAAAAAATACTTAGAAAGTCACCAGAAAAGAAAAAAATACAGAATACTACAATAAAAGAAAATAACTGAAAAGTAGCCAGGAAAATTTTTTTATAAAGGACTGTAATTCTGTATGGTACAAATAGAAACAAGTAATGAGATGGTAGGCTTGCATCTAATTATATCAATGACTACACTAAATGTATAAAGCTTAAACACTCCAATTGAAAGGAAATACCCAATTATAGGTTGCCTACAAGAAACTCACATTTAAAAAAAAAGGCATGTATAGGTAACAAGTAAGGACTGTGAAACAACATGCAACGTAACCAGGACTTAAAAGAAGGGAGGACTGCTGGTTTCATGCCAGGCTTCAAGATAGAGGGTATGGTAAGAGTTTATAAATAAACATGTTTTATAACAATTAAGGGTCAGCTCCTCAAGAGATTATGAAATACTGTGAGTAGATCTAAGTAACTGATGTTCAAAATACAGGAAGCAAAAACTGTCAGAGCCCAAAGTAAACAAAGACAAATCCATAATTACAGTTTATGATTTAAATTTTCTTTTCTTAGTAAAGTGATCAGGTGAAAAATGGTATGGATACAGGATCTATAAACAATATTTATCACCCAACCTGATGTGAATTACATTTATGAACAAAATTTACAAAGCCTGGAATTCTACAGAATATTTTCTCCTCATAACAATTAAATTGAGAGTCAAAATAAAAATTGAAAAATCTGAAAAATATTATAATAAAGGAACACATTAAAAAACACAGGCATCAATGAAAAAAATCATTAGAGAAATCAGAAAACAATCTGAACTGAATGCTATTCTAAATGATGTATTTATGGAATGTAGTCAAAGCAGTAGGTTAGAGAAAAATTAACAGCTCTTTCAGTTAGAATAGAAAGATTTACTGTCCTAAAAGGTAGAAAAAGAGCAGCAAATTAAACCTAAGGTAAGGATGGAAATCATGAAGTAGACAAAGGTCAAAGAGGGGAAAAACTAATACAAAAGCTGGTTCTCCAAAAAAGATAAAATTAACATACCTCTATCTAGAGAGAGAGAGAGAGAGAGAGAGAGAGAGAGAGAGAGAGAGAGAATACAAATTACCATACTCAAAATGAAAGCAAGGATTCCAGTGAATATCATTATAGACATTAAATGGATAACAGATGCTAGAAAAATCAGACATCTGTGATAAAAAAAAATGTATCAGGCCAGGGGCCTAGCAAGTATGAGGCCCTAAGTTTAAATGCCAGTACAGAAATATATATATATATATTCATACTATATAAAATATAAAAAATACATATATATTTCATACTATATAAAACAGTATAGTGAAAATTACTTACTGCAAAAAAGAAAATCTCTGTGAACTTCATTTAGGAAAAGATTTCTTAGGTAAGATGCAAAAAGCATGAATTTTCAACAACAACAACAAATCTGACTTCATAAAAGTTTAAAACTTCCATTATCTATTGAGAAAATAAGACAAGCTCCAGAATAAAAAGAATGTTTTTACATATTATATATCTGTACTAATGGCTTATTGCTGCTTAACAATTGGGCCCAAATTTACAAGGTTAAAACAACAATTCAGTCGCAAGAGAAATCTTGCAGGAGAACCACCTGAGTGAGATTGAGCGTGGGCCCAGCCCAAGTTGAGCCCTAAAATAAATACAGCCCTGGAGGATACCTTAATTGTAACCTTGTGAGAGATACCAAGCTGGAGGACCCAGCTAAGCTGCCCTCAGATTCCTGACTCATAGAAACTGTGAGAAAATAAAGGACGCCTTAAGCCACTAAATTTTAGGGTAATTTGTTACATAGCAATAGACAACTGATACAAAATCTATATCCCCCAAAAAGAACTTATGCAAAAGTTAATTCACCTTCATGTTTTCTCTCTTACCATCTCCCTTGCCTCATCTATTCTCATTAATAAAAAACAACCCACTTAAAAAATGGTCAAAATTGAAATAATAATCCACAAAGAAATGATATGAATTGCAATTACATGAAAAGGTACTCACAGTCATTAGTCACCAGGGAAATATAAATGAAAACTATGATAGGATGTCACCACAAACTGGACGGCATGTTATTTTGCAACTGAAGTCTTTGCTTACCAGTCTTCTGGCTTGACGGCAGAAGGATCAGGGATCTTTGCTCTGTCGTCCCACTCTTCGGGTTTTTTATCATTGGGATCATCAATTTCTCTGGGAGGGTTGATAGGAGGAACCACATCTTCTAGCAGGCTTCCTTTGTTCACGACCGTTTGATCAATTAATATTTCAAATGTGTCATCTGGATTCACCACTAAAGAACAATTTAAATGTTTTACACTTACCATTTTGATAGACATTTAAAAGATAGTCTTCTAAATCATAAAAATACCTAAACTTCATAGCTAAGATCTCTCCTCCTTCTGGATAAAATTTACATCTTTGGAAAGAATGATGAATGAAAAGAGCTATCTAGCATTTCCAACCACAAATAGAAGAATAGCCAATGCATTCAGTCAAAATATGCTGTAATCACTAGACATAATGCTTTCTAACATAAAGATAAAATTTTTTTTAAACTGCATTTTTATGGTCAAATGCTCCATTACTTCTCAAATAAGAAATACCCATTAGCTAGTTCTGTTTGGGACTCAGGACCACTGAACTTCCTTTTGTTATAGTTACAGAATACACCACAGTTTTCCTCAGTATTAAAAAAAAATTTTTAAAACAATCTCAAACTTACAAAGTTGCAAGTACACTGTAAAGAACTCAATTTTTTTCTGAACTTGAGAGTAAGTTACTGACACATCACCCCTGAAAAGTGTTAACATATTTTTCCTCTAAAGAAAGACACTCTCCTACCTAAAAAGTCCACCCAGTTGCAAAATCAGAAGAGTACCATTGCTATATTTCTATCATTTTAGAAATATTTAAATATGAGGTTCAATGGCATTTCAAATTCAATGACTCAAACACTGTAAAATTAAAGATTAAAGATAATTTTAAATATTCAAAGTTATACTTACTGGCATCTTTGTTCCCAGGTAAATTCTAAGCCCTCTAAAATCCCAAAGCCAAAAATTTCATAAAGGACTCACTTATCCTTTGTAATGACAAAATAAAAGATCTCTCCTCCTTCTGGATAAAATTTACATCTTTGGAAAGAATGATGAATGGAAAGAGCTGTCTAGCATTTTCTTTCAGTAAGTGAAAGAATGCTTGGCATGGCAGGGCACACCTGCAACCCCAGCACATGGGAGGCTGAAGCAGGAAGATCTCAACTTCAAGGCCAACCTGGGCTACACAGTGAATTCCAGGCTACCAGCCTAGACCACATAGCAAAACTCTGAAAAACCAAAAAGAAAAAAATGAAAGAAGTAGGTGTTATCAGCAAACATTGGGCTCATCCTAACTTAACCAGTTATGTGGGTGAGCACTTTCTGAAGAAGCAAAGATCTTCAGGGGTTTCAACCACAATAATGACCAATTATTTCCATCAAAATCAAATAATGCAATCTGTATACAAACACAAATAATACAAATCCACACTCGGTATTTTAGCACTTCTTTTTTTCTCCACTATTCCCTCTTCTATTATAGCCAGGATTATAAAAAACTGTTTTGCTGCAACAAAGGAAAGAAGCTACAAGACAGAAACAGCTAAGCATAAAATGTGAAATGCAAAAAAATACTGGGCCATCCTAAAGTCATTCTTGAGAAAAGCCTTGAAAAGGAAACTTTCTGAACAAATTTTGCAGCTGAAAGAAATATTTTAAAAGTACAGCTGAAACAAGCATTTGGAAAGCAGGCATGTGTGGAAAAAAAAAAACCTCAATTCAAAACCTTTAGTCATAGGCCAGGAGACCTGGTGACACGCACCTGTAATCCCAGCATTCAGGAGACAGAGGCAGGATAACAAGTTAAGAAGCCAAATTAGTCCACATAGTTACGCCCTGTCTCAAAACCCAAACTAACCAACCAACCAAAAAAAAAAAAAAAACCCCAAACCACCCTTAAATAGAAAAAAGTCATTCAATAATCCAAGCTGTTTTTAGTTTATTGTGTTGTATATATTAGTAAGAGAAGCAAACTTTTTTTTTTGGTGGTAGTAGTGTTTGAACTCAGGACTCCCTGTGTGCTAGGCAGGTGCTCTACTGCTTGAAGTCAGACCTCCAGCCCAAGAGAAGCAAATGTTAGAGTCAGACTTGAAATTCCATTTCAGCCCTGCTTTCCAGGGCTACCTAAAAAAGTCAAAGCAAAGTAGAGAGACCACGGTTCACCTCACACGATCATTCCAAACAAAGGGTCTACCGGGGACGGGGAGCATGGTACATCACGTGGTAAATACAAATTAGTCCTTTTCTAGTCTTTTCCTATTGCATTTGCTTGCACTGTTTGCCTAGTGACCACCACAATATGCCTACAATGATCTTGATTTCCTCATTTACTGTTACACGTTGATGATATCTTATGTAAAATATCATGTAAAATGCTGAGACCAGAAGTGCCCTACACTTCAGGGGCTTTTGGATTTTGGAGCACTGGCATAGATTTTATTGATTGAGCATCCCTAATCTGGAAATGTGACATGCTCCAAAATCCAAAACTTTCTGAACGCTGACAGGACACACATTTTAAGTTTTGGATTTCCAGAGAAGGGCTACTCATCCGGATAAGCATTTCCCCTACTGCTAAACTGTTCATGGTTATCATCCCTTTATTGTACCAAAAACTCCCCTAACGGTAACATTTAGGTCACTTCAAATTAGTACATCTCTACACACAGATCATCTTCTTTCTTTGGGTTATTTTCTTTGGACAAATTGCTGAAAGTGGAATTTTTGTTTCAAAGGACATATAGTTCTTATGACCTCTAATGTATACTACTAATTTGCTTTTGATCAGCTTCGTACAAAGCCAAATTAATTTATTCTATTCCAATTGTAATTTATTACATAAAGTATTTCTATAGTTTGTATTCCTCAAAGTACTACTTTCCAACTATTTCAGAAAAAGAGCTTTTGATATGATATCTGTGCTTAAAGATAAAACTGGGCACTGATTTGACAGAAAAATGAATGCTTCTGCAATTGGAAGTATCTAGAATGGATAGAGTTGAAGTTGAGAAAGGAAGGTGATAGCATCATTGCTAGCTTCTGAATCGCTGTGATTACTTAGAAGCAGAAGAAACAACCCCTAATGGTGTTCCTTTCCCCCACATCTATGCAAATTCTTATTTGCCTACGCAAAGCTACATATGTTAACACATGGAGGCTCAATGTTTTCCTTTAAAAGTTCAGTATGAGCCACAACCTCCAGTTTCTAACAACAATCACAACCGCCTGCAGAGTAAAGTCTTCAACTCTTTAGCCTGGCATTCAGGACCTTCTCCTTCATCATTCCTGCTTGTATAGCAGAATTGTCACAGTGCCTAAAGGGTCCTTTCCTCTCTTCTCTTATGCATTCTATCTGTACTTGAAGACAAGTTCAAATACATTCTTCACTAGTTTTCTCCAAGTCTTCAAACTGGAAGTAATATTGCCTTTGAAGTCCTAATTGTACCTTATCTGTATTCTCATGTAGCATTATTTTCTACTTGTGCTATTATTATGTATAAATTATTTTCTCCAAAAGATAAGCTTCTCACAGGTAGATGAATATTTTCTCCCAAAAGCACTTGCTATGAATACATCTGTAATCAGCAAATGTTTCTTCATTAATGAATAAATTAAAAGGATATACCAAGGGTATAAAGATGAGTCTTCCTGTCTGTAAAGAACTCTTTAAGATCTACATCTGGAGGTTTGGCATGCTTTTCTTCAAAAACTCCAGTTTTGGGATGTTTATGTCTGAAGATAAAATGAAGTTTATAATCTTCTCCACATTTATCTGGTCCAAACATAATGGTATAGGATGTTTTATCATAAAAATTTTCCTTCAAAGAGAGATGAGTGTTGGAATTAGTCCAGAATTACATAGTATTTAATGAATTTCTCTATTCTATCCAAATGGGTAGAGTTTACAAAATGTATTATATGCTAATTTATCAAAGAATCACTTGACACAAATGGCAATAAAGGATATGAATATTTACATATTTTGGCAATACTGGGGTTTGAACTCAGGGTTTTGTACATGTAAGGCAGGCGTTCTACCACTTGAGCCTTATCTCCAGCCCCCCAATTTATTTTAAGGCACACACTATTTTCTTCCTGAAGATGTTGGAGAGAAGCAACATCACAGAAAGCTTTAATCACTTTATGTAAATCTGTATTAATATTTCATGGAGAATTAAGCATTGAAAGAAAGTGTATTTATGACCTTAAGACTTAAATTCATTGCTATTTTTCAGGAAGGCCCTGAAAATGACCTTCCTGAGCACAAAATGAAGAGAGATTTAGACACAAAGCAGATACAGAGATATGCTCCCGTTTCACTACTCCAAGTTTATCTGGCATGGCATTCTGGTTAAGAGTGTGAAGTCTGGAGTTCAATGCTCCCTCCCATTGCCACTTAACCTAGCTTTATCTGGGGAGTAAATGTTCTAACCTCTCTGCATCTGTTATCACCTCGGAAATGTGAAGATGATTGTACCAACTTGCCAGGGACTCTCTGAGGACAGGCTGAGTAAATCAGATAAAGTGCCTATGAAATGCTTGCTAACTGACATCTGTCATCTTACCTGCCAGAATCATTACGTTATAACACCTAAAACAAGAGCTTCAACAAATCCTACAAATGGCCTCTCTTTTACCTGATCCTAAAAGTAAACAGTACATGAGGAAACCTTTAATTGACATTTCATAGCCTGCGCCTGGCCAGGCAACCTGACAAATATCTTGCTGACACCTCATTATCTTATTTCTGTTACACACTAAAACCCTGACTCAGTGCCTACTGTCACCACTCTACTGTAGGAGAGTACTGTATGAAATGTCCGCAACCCTTAAATGGTCTTATTACAACATCTTAGAACTTTAAAGCTACTTCATTGTGAAAAAAAATTTACTTGTTTTCTCTACAATGCCAATGCCTGAATGGACCCACTTTTAATTCAGTTTTCTGGGTTCTTCATTTCACTGCTTTGCTATGCTTTCTTACTTCTCTAAACAAACATATAACTCTTATTTTATGAAGAACTCTAAACTGATATTTCATTAGCACTTATAAGCACCATGCTATTTTTTATATATTGATGTGGTAAAGTTTTTATGTAACTAAAAATTACAACATTGATGTCTTTGAGTAACACAGCTTCATGTGGAACTTGAAGACAAACTGTAAAAGCTATAGAAACTCATGTTGGAAAAAGACATTAAAGGTTCTTTGCAATTGCAGTTGACAATGAAATTTTCAGTTGCATCAATTATTCCTTAAAATACTGACTTTAATAAAGTTTTCTTAAACATTAAAATATCATACCAGAATCAAATCACCAGTGTCTGCTAGGAGTTTAATGTATGCACCTCCACAATCAATACCATCTTGAAAATTTACTTCATATCTATATGAAGGGAAAAAGAACCACACTGCTGATAAACAAAAATTACTAATTGCTCTTTAGAATCTAACATATTACTCTCAATTCATTTAAACAGAAATATTTTATATCACTAGGAAGTTCATTCGTATAACGCATATCCACAACACATAGGAAATAAGCAGAAAGGCTTTTACATTACTGTAAAATTCAAACATTGTTAGATTATCAAAAATAGAATCATTATAATCACTTATACAAAAGCCAACCAATTCATTTCAATAATATTTGCAAGAAAACTGTTGAGGATAAGATATTTTTAATTAAAACTATAACAAGAAAATTCAGATTCTGGTAAGGTAGGCACTACCCATGTTCTTTACAAATTAAAAGACCAAAAGCTGTGACACACATGTGACCATGGCTATGACAGCTTTCAAAGAAATTGATGATGACCTCAGAGATTCAGAGCTCACTACTAATCATTTTTAGTTCAACTACACCTAAGCCATGCTCAATGGATTGTGTATTTAACTACATACTGCAGCAAAGAGATTTCATAATTTCAATCAGTAACCTGGAATATGTATTTCATAACTAAACAGCCAGGAGATATGGGAAATTTCAGTTCTTTAGTATAATAGCTAAAAAAAAATGAGTCTTTTTTTGGATTTATAACACAGTGTAATTCTTTCTTTCTTTCTTTTTCTTTTTGGTGGCACTAGGGTTTGAACTCCAGGCCTCATACTTGCTGGGCAGGTGCGTGCCTTTTTGAGATTTTTTTTTTTTTCAAGTTAGGATCTCACAAACTATTTGCCAGGGGCTGGCTTTGAACTGTGATCCTCCTGATCTCTGCCTCCTGAATAGCTAGGATTACAGGTGTGAGCCACCAGTTTCCAGTGCTTTTTTTTCTTTTTCTTTTCTTTTTGTTAAGGAAATAGGCATGTTAAGACAATGAAACACAGACTTAGAAGAGATTTGTGAAAACATTAAAAAAATTATAACTCTGTTAAAGGAACTGACACAAAAGAGATGAAAACTAAAGAAACAATAAGAAATTGTGGTAATTTGAATAAAAGATGATAGTTTTAAATGTTTCTGAAGAAACTTCAATGCCAAGAATATGAAAAATAGCATACACAATTTTAATAGCTTGAACCCAATTAGTGTATACATTTTGGATCAAAAAGAAGAAACAGTAACATTTTAAGTGACTTGCTATCACTTGTAAGACTGTGGGCGGTCCCCCTCTGCTTTCTGTGATGCTGACTTTGTTTCCCATGGTGTCTGTGATAGGAATCCCAAGCACATAGTGGAAGTCAGAAAGAGCTAAGATTCATTCCGGATTCTGCCACTTGCTTTAGTGACACCTTGTGTAAGTACAAGCCTATCTGCTCATCCATAATATAACAGGGCTGGGGACCATAGCCCAAAGAACTGCAATGATGATTAAAGGATGCCATGCACAATGAAGGGCAAATAAATCCTGAACAGTGTTAGCTGCTGTTGTCCTTAGCAGAAAGGATTTCTTTTATTCTTTTTCATTTTAAAAATAAAGGATAACTTTTGTTTTCCTCAAAACTTTATTTTAAACAACTATTGAAAACTTTTTTCAATAAACTTATGTCTTTGAAGACTAAATGTAGAAGGAATGATGCATGATGTGAGTTAAAATTTTGGGAGAAATGAGATAAAAAGATACTACTCCATTCCTGGTGATTTAAGGACAAAGGGTTTTATAGACAGGTAGGAACTGGAAAGGAAGATTTTGTCAGGTGGCTTTATAAATGTGAACGAGCCTTGTTGAACTGTTATGCCTAGCCTCAATCACTTTGTCCATTCCTTTCACTGCAAACTTTCAGAGTTTTGAAAACATTACCTTGGGCCTGGTGTAACACACAGTGGGCTAGAGGATCAGCAACTTTTCTATCACGTGACTGAACTTCAAGTCACACAAACACTGAGAACGAGCAGAGTGCACACCCATTTCTCTAGAGCCTCACTTCCCAACATGCTGTATGAGAGGCCATTATTGTTAAGAGGAAACAGAAACCTATGTGGTCACACATGTTTGGGGAAAACAGCATGAAAGCTACAAATAGGTCTTACTGGTAGGACCTCTCAAAATCATCAAGGCACTGAAAAGAAATTCCAATTATAAATACTATACTCAGAAACATATCATTCAGAAATGAATGAAAAACTAAAGATCTTCTAAAACAAGCAAAAACTAGGGGAATTCATCAGCATGAGACCAGTCTTCCAAGAAATGCTTAAGGGAGTCCTACACCTAGAGGCAAAAGGAAAAAACTACCTGCCATCATGGAACATGAAAAAGTGCAACACTCATTTCTGGAGAACATACACAAGACAAAATAATCAAACCTGTCAATGCAGGAACCACCCAACAACAAAGATGAAAATGAGAGAGAAAGGAACAAAACGACCAGAAAAACATTAACAAGATGACAGAGGTCCTTATTGATCAATGATAACCTCACACATAAGCAGATTAAACTCCCCACCTAAACAATTTAGACAAATCTGGCTGGGCACCACTGGCTCACACCTGTAATCCTAGCTACTTGAGAAGCTGAGGTTGAGAGGACTGTAGTTCGAGGCCAGCTGGGCAAAAAGTTTGCAAGGCTCCATCTCAACCAATAGCTGGGTGCAGTGGCACAAGTCTGTCATCCCGACTATGGTAGGAAGTGTAAAACAGGAGGACTGTGGTCCATGCCTGCCTAAGCAAAAAGCAAGACCCATCTCAAAAATAGCCAGAGAAGAAGGGGCTGGAAGTATATGAAACAAGTGGTAGAGCATCTACCTAGCAAGTGAAAAGCTGAGTTCAAACCTCAATACCACCAAAAAAATTGGACAAATAAATGTTGTCTAAATCAAATAAATGTTGTTTTGAGTGAAACAACAGCAATAAAAAAAGACCAGATAGCACACTCCATACAAGAAACTCATTCACTGGTAAATACTCAAATATCGAGTGTGAAAAGATAGAAAAAGATATCAGGCTAACAGAAACTAAAAGTGACCAGGAGTATTTACACTTACAACACATAAAATAGACGTTAAGTCAAAAGCTGTAAGAAGAGACAGTCACTATGTAAAGACAAAACAGTTCATTAAATGAGAGAAAATAACAATTATAAATAGGTGTGTACCTGCCAGGAGCAATCCCAGTTATGTAAAGAAAAAATGAAGATGGAAACACAATACACAAGCATCCATGCAATACAGCAAAAGCAGTACTAAGAAGGAAATTTATAGCAACAAGTGCCTATGTCAAAAATAAAAAAGAAAACAACAAAAAAGGACAAATAACCTGTCAGTACACCTCAAAGAAGAAGGCATACAAGAACAAACCAAACCCCAAATTAGTAGAAGGAAAGAAATAATAAAGATCAGAGCAGAATAAAAAAGTAAGACTAGAACATAGAGCAGACTAGAAAAGCAACACAAGTAATCAATGAAATGAAGAGTTGGTTTTTTGAGAGGGAAAAAACCAATAAAACAGCAATACTAGCCAAGAAACAAAGAGAAGAAACAAAGATATAAAATCAGAGTTACACAAGGAGACATTAAAATAGATACCTCAGAAATAGAGAACATACATAGGGAATATTATAAAAACTACATGCCAAAAAATTAGAATACCTAGAAGAAATGCATACATTTCTTGACACCAAAATTGAACCATTAAGAAGAAAACCTGAGTAGACCAATAATGAGTAAGCCATGAGATTGAATCAATACTTAAAATCTCCCAGCCAAATAAAAAAAAAGAAAATCCCAGGATTAGACAGCTTTGTTGCCGTATCTCACGGACTTTTTTTTTTTTTTTTTTTGGTGGGACTGGGGTTTGAACTCACGGACTTTTTAAAGAAGGACTAACTCCAGGCATGTTGGCACATGCTTGCAATCCTATCTTGGGAGGCTGAAGCAGGGAGGATTGCAAATTTGAGGCCATCCTGAGCTATACAGTGAGACCCTGTCTTGCTAAAACAAAGCAAAAATAAATAAATAAAAGCATAAAGAAGAACTTAGAAAAATCTTCTCAAGACAAGGGAGCAATCCTTCCAAACTAATTCTACATGGCCAGTATCACTCTTAACTCAAACAAGGACACAGCAAACAAAAAGAAAACTACAGACCAATATCACCCAAATTCTCAACTACTATCCACAAATGTATTCAACAGCCCAAGCAAAGATCACGCACTAGGACCAGGTGGGACTTATTCTAGGGATGAAAAGATGGTTCAAGCTACGTAATCAATAAATGGAGCACCTCACATCAATAGAATGAAGAACAAAAACTACACAATCACCTCAACAGATGCAAGACAGGCATTTAATAAAATTCAACATCCCTTTATGATAAAAAACCTTCGACAAATTAGGCTTCAAAAGAAGATACCTTAGTACAAGACAAAAGGCTACATATGATGGCCCTACAGCAAACATCATTCCAAATGGGGAGGAACCAACAGATCTGGGGGAAGACAAGGGTGTTCACTTTCAACATTCTCATTCAACACTTAGAACTCTTAGCCAGAGCAATAATGCAAGAGAAAGAAAAAAAAAAGATCATCCAAATATGAAAGGAGGAAATCAAATTAGCCCTGTTTGCAATATCATTTTACATATTGAAAAACTTAAATACTCTACAAAAAAACCTTTAGTACTGACAAATTCAATAAAGTTGTATGATACAAAGTTATATAAAAATCAGTAGCATTTTATACACAAATAATGAACTTTCTGAAAAATAAACCAAGAAAGCAATCTCATTTACAACAGTCACAAAAATACCTAGGGATGAATTTAACCAATGAAGTAAATGAAAATTATAAAACATTGATAAAAAAAATTGAAGAGGCCATTAAGACAGAAAAACAAGGGCCAAGCACAGTGACTCAAGCCTGTAATTCCAGCACACAGAAGGCAGAGATTGGAAGGACTGTGGTCAAGGCCAACCCAAGCAAAAAAGTTAATGAGACCCCTCAACAAACAAGCTGCATGGTGGACATACCTGTAATCCTAACTACTCAAGAGGCAGACACCAAGAGGATCACTGTTCAAAGCCAGCCAGGCAAAATAGTTAGCGAGACCCTATCTTGGAAAAAACCCATCACTAAAAAGGGCTGGTGGAGTGACTCAAGGTGAAGGTCCTGAGTTCAAGCCCCAGGACTACAAAAAAAAAATAGATACAACAATCCTTAACTTCATATGGAATTACAAAAGACCCCAAATATTCAAATCTTGAGCAAACAGAACAAATCTGGATAGATTTCAACAGCTGAAAATTTCAAAATACACCGCAAAGCTATAATAACCAAAACAGCATGGGACTGGCATAGAAAGTGACACGTATCCCAGTAGAACAGAATAGAGAATCTAGAAATAGGTCCACATTATCTACAGCCAACTGTAAAAGTGTAAGTTACAGAATGACAGTCTCTCCCTTCAGTAAATGGTGCTGGGAATTGAGACACACAAGAATGAAAGCAGGTCTTACCTCCCTCTGTATACAAAAATCAACTCAAATTGAGTCAACTTAAAATGAGTCAAAGATCTAAACTCTGAACTACTAATGGGAGAACACTACAAGACATCAGAACAGGTGATGATTTTTTTTAAAAAGCAAGAGCCCATAAACATAGACAACAAAAGTACCAATAGGTGTACGGAACTCTATGAAGCCAGGAAGTTTCTGCATAGTGAAGGAACAGCTGACTGACAAGCAACTGGAAAAACCTTTGCAACGGTTATTTGACAAGCAGTTAATATCCAGAATATATAAGAAACGCAAGAGCAAAACCCCAAATAGTCCTATTAAAAATGAGCAACAGACCTAAGCAGACATTTCTCAGAAGAACGGAATTCTGTCATTTGCAGCAACATGGAAGGAACTAGAGGACATTAGATTATGTAAAATAAGCCCAGTACAAAAAGTCAAATACTGTAGGTTCTCACTCATATTTTGGAAGCTAAAAATGTTGATTTCATAGAATAAGAGTGGTCATGAGAGGTTAGGAAGTAGGGGGCTGAGGGGAAAATTGGATATCAAGTACCAAACTACAGTTAGATAGGTGGAATCAGGTCAAGTTTTCTTAACCTGATTTCTAGAACAGTAGGATGACCACATATATATATTAATGAAGAACTGTAAGAGAGGGTTTTGCATGTCTCCAACACAAGGTGTGGTGTTTGTGACAAGTACCCTGTAAATATGTGCAATTATGAACATTTAAATGTGCAAAAAGGTATTAAACAGAAAAAAACATTACAAATTGCTATTACAGGAAGAAGTGATAACAGAGGTTGACAAGAAAAGCTTCAAATCTCAGAGATTTCAGATTTCAGATTTTTGTACTAGTCATGTTCAATATGAGTTAACTTTTGCAGAATTTGAAAAGGTACAGTTCTATCATAAATACATGATATTTGTAGGACTTCATATAAAAATCTTTTCATTGCATTTGGCCCATTTGACTTCTCTCATTATTAAGAGAGGACGCTCTCCTTTGAATTGTTTTTAAGCATATGAAGACTGCTCTTCTTTTCTCAGAATAGTCACTTCACTTTTTTGTAAATGTTTAGACTGATTTTCTGGTCTTTGATTCCACTCTTCAAGTCGCCATCTTCTTACTTCCCTAGTAGTGGCTCATACTGAAGATACTATATTTGATTTGTTTGACCCCAAATTTCATATTATTTTCCTTTATCCTTTTTTAAATGACCAGCGCAAAGGCTCGAAATAGAAAGTGAGATTATATTCACCTTCAACAAAAACCAAACCAAATTGTCATTAGCAATAAATAGCGCCAAGGTCAAAGATTCATCCCAGTAAGTACCTGTAACAATACATTAAATTTATTCAAATAATGGTCATATTCTCTCTGACATTAGTTATTATTTGAAATTCAGTGAGGTGACTAAATATAGAGGAAGCCAAAGCACTGCAACTGAAATGTTCAGCCAGTGACAAACACCGACTATGGAGAGTCTCTAGGGTACTGGATGGAGTTTCAGCTTCACCAGGCGGGAAAACATGCTCAGCATCTCAGCAGACAATGAAGGTTTTCTGGAGTGGGAAGTCCGGTAGTGATGTTCCTTATGCGGTAATTAACTTCGGACAGCCATGTTTTCTTGGTGATACGTGAGCATATGATATATGGTTCAAGCTAACATTTATACATTTTCTGTTCTTTGTTCATAATTTGGATTTTTTGCGTTCTGTAGCTATGTAATTATATAGATGAAACAAGCACAAGGCATTTATCCCTTATTTTGTGATAGGACACACGCAAGGAACACCACCGGTTTATGGCAAACTGGGGGAAGAGGGGAAAGCTGCAACACCAGCCTTCACAGTCCCACACTCTGAAGATGCCCATCTACCTAAGTAAATCGACTGGGGGAGGAGGACAAAGGAAAACAAGGGAGGGGGTGAATTCAACTATGATATATTATAAGAACTTTGGCAAATGTCACAATGTACCCCCTGTACAAAAATAATTTAAAAAATTTTAAAGAATATTAAAAAGGCTAACAAGAAAAAAATAAAATAAATTTGCTGCCTTTGGATCAGAGCCCTGGCTTATCAGCAATATTTACAGTTATGTCCTGAATATGTTGCAATTGACAGCTTAGCAGAAAATAACTTTAAAAATTAACATTAAAATGGCAATTTTACTATGCATTATAAGTTATGGTGGCAGAACTGCATATATCACAGGATATATTACATATAATTTTATCATTAACCTGTTATTCACTGAAAAACCCCAGGGATTCAGGTGTATGTGTGCATTTGTATATTTAACTACACAAAAGTAATTCTTATTATGTTTTTTTATACCCAACACCAAAATCCAAGCTATGTTCAGATGCCAAATTAATGCAAATTCAGAAAGGTATTCAAGAACAAAACTTACTGAACTATCAAAGGCTTATCAGCAAAAACAAAGGGTTTTGCTAACACAGCAGATATGGCATGATGTTTTGCTTTAGATTTCATGACCAGTCCTCTGTCACCAGGTACCTGGTTGTCTTTCAGCTCTTCTAGTTCCCATCTTCCTAAAAAACAAAGAAGAGCAAATTAAAACAGAAAACACTGATGTAAGAATTACTTATCAGTAGTTGGAAACAGCAATTTTTTCAATGAAGCCTGATTCAGAAAAAATAAAACCAAATTATAACTGAGGAAAAAGTTATAACTTTATGTCTCCTCTCATCTCTGTTCTCTGCTTCCCTCTCCTCTCCTTTCTTTTCTTCTCTTTATCAGAAGATGGTTTCAGAGCTGAGCACAGGTGGCTCACCCCTTTAATCCCAGTTACTTAGGAGGCAGAAATTGGAAGGACCACTGTTGGAAGCCAGTCCAGGAAAAATCTGGTAAGACCCCAACTCAATCAATAAGCTAGGCATGGTGGTACATGTCTGTTATCCCAGCCAGACCGGGGCGGGGGGGGGGGGGAAGGCATAGGTAGGAGGATCACAGTCTAAGGCTGGCTTGGGTAAAAATGCAAGACCTTACCTGAAAAATAATAATAATAATAAAAAAAGCTGGGGCCATGGCTCAAGTGTTAGAGCACTTACCTAGCAGGTGTGAGGTCTTGAGTTCAAAGTCCTAGTACCACAAAAAAAAAAAAAAAAAGGAAACTAAAAGAAACTGGTTTCATTTCCTTAGATAAAATTGTGAAACTAATAAATAATCTGGTTGCGGCTCTCTGAAGATAGATTAGTTTGGTTTTCTTAACACACATTTTAAAGAATTGTTAAGATTTTCTCATAGGGTCTCTCAACACTGGAATTTTAAAATGACATGAGACAAAAGGCTCCAGCACAAAGCAAGCAGTCTGCATGTCCTTTACTTTCAAATGATGGTATTCACAAGCTCCGTTTCTTACAGCAGTTACTATAGGAACTGAAGTTTTTTTTGAAACTGCATGCTCCATTCACAGCAGCTGGGGAACTCTGGCCAGGAAGGCAGCGACGCCTTGCGACGCCGGGCGCTGACCACCAGGGGGCAGGGCTCTGCCATCGGATCAGGAAAGGTGAAGCCAGGTGCACTGAGCCCAGCGGTGTGGCGGCTTTACTCCAGTCCTCTTTTACAACAGAAAACCAACTTCTGTTAATTCACAGAACATGTAGCAGTTTTGAAAATTATAACATTGTCTATGAGAACTAAACTCAATTCAGCAAAAAACTGCTTATTTTTCAGTAATGTGTCCATTCAAAATATTTTTAATGGGCACTAATGCTCTTACTTTATACTTTTTTGTTCCTTCTAAAAAACAACAATGCAAGAACCGTAAGTCTTATGATCAAGGAAGTAGGATTTTTAGTTTAGCATTATGTATACTTTATTGGCCTTTTAAAAATGCTCTTTAAAAAAGGTTGTCAGGTTTCTCTCCCCTGGCCCAATTCCAATTGAATTGTACTGTACTTCTCTAGAAAGATAAATTTACTTGGTATTTCTTTTCTCACACTGACAATGAATTGTATTACCATTACTAACTAGCTCCCCTAAAAGGACTTATTTTAAGAAGTAACAACTTTGTATTTCCATTTTCAAGATTTTTAAAACTGTTGTTTTTCTTGTAATTAATTTGTATACATCTATCAGCGATGGCAAGGCACCCCCATAGCACTTTAATTTTGGAAAACAAGGAAATTATCTCTAAGCACAGGCTTAACCCAACTTCAAATAAAATGTTTCATTAACTAGCTCATTTAAAACTAAAATCTGAACAGCACTAGATAATAACAATTCTCTTATAAATAAAATTTCACAAAGAATTTATATGCTTTTCCAAGATAATATGAAAACTGGTCAATTAAAGAAGTGCAATTTCAATGTAACACTTATACTTTTGTTAATATCTTTGGTTTTTTTGGCTGTACTGAGATTCTGTACTCAAGGCCTTGACTTGCTAGGTTAGTCCTCTGACACTTAGGGCATTTTTTTGTTGTTGTCTCCTGTTTATATCTGGACAGCAACCCTCGGGATGATGGCAGGTACCACCATGCCTAGCTTTTTACTGATTAAGATGGGGTCCTGGGAACACTTTGCTGGGGCTGGCCTCCAACTGCAATCTTTCTCATCTCCACCTGCTGAGGAGGTGGGATTCCAGGGTGAGTCTCCCTGCACCCGGCCTGTTGTGATCTTAATCTGAAACACTGAATAATTCTCCCTTAAATGCACAGCATTTACTCTCTCCAGCACTTACTGTCTCATACAGATCCGCAGAACTCTAAAAGCATCGGCATGACCTTTACTCTGGTGGAACTGGCGAGATGAAGCTTGGATTGACTACTGTGAATACCAAAAATTCTTGCAAAGAAATGCAAGATCAGTTTCAACTAACCAATATGGAGCGCATCCCCAAAACACCTTTGTCAGAACCTGCAACCTTAAGAGATTCCATGTTTTCCAAAGAAATTGAAAAAAGTCATAAATCAGTTAAATTTAATATGCCAGAACATTTTTGGGGGGTAGTCCTTAATTTTTTAAGAGTAAAGTAATATTGCAAAATCACAAAAGTTGAGAGTATATAGAAAATATTGTCACTCATAGTTCTGGCATCCCATCTACATATTTCAATTGTGTCACTTCTCAGGAGACTGCAGCATTTATAAGCACTCTGCATTTGTATGCTCAGTAAAATCTCTGTATTTGTTGAAATGATTTGAGGAAAATTATTACTTGCATATTTAATGTTTAATAAAACAACAGATAAAACATGACTATCACAAAAATGTTTGCCTTTACTTTCTTTTTTTTTTTCAGTTTTAAGCTGGGAAAGAATTCAAACACTAAAAGCCATGTTGGGCTCATAACAAATAGAAACTTAGGGCTGGTGGAGTGGCTGAAGTGATAGAGTGCCTGCCTAACAAGCATGAGGTCCTGCCTTCAAACCCTAGTATCGCAAACATCAATCAATCAATAATAAATAAATACAAGAAACCGACACTTAAAACTCATCCTTAAGATAGATTATATCTTAGCTGGGCACCATAGTGCAATCCCAACTCCTCAATCACTTGGGAGTTGGAGGCTGGAGGATCACGAGTGGCGGCCAGCCCAGACAGAGACTGTTTTCAAGACCTTGTCTCAAAAGCAAAATGAAAACAAAAGGGCTGGGGATGTAGCTCAAGGTGTAGAGTGTTCAGGTGTGGGACCCTCGGTTCAATCTACAGTACCCCTTCCTGAAAAAGATAAACAGTATCTTAATTTTAGGGGAACTCTGTCAATGCCATCTTATAAAATACAAATAAATGTAAAGCAAGTATTCACCAATGTTCTTGAAAAAACTGTAAAGCACCTAAACAGAGATGTCTGAAGCAAGGCACTGTGGTAAGCATATTCTGTGTTGATCTGGATTTATTTTAGGTAGCATAAGGTATCTGTGCAGACTCACTGCTCCTCTGGGGAAATCATTCTTTTGGATAAGTGGATTTAGACTGGATGTAACGTTGCCTGTTCCATGCCTATGAGGTGTTACTTTTGGAGCATATTAGCATATATAACTGGAGTGACTTGCATGGTCTTTATCACACACTGCTACAGAAACTATGACAAGGTAGTGAGAGCTGAAGTCCAGCACGAGCTAGCATCTGTTCTGCTGTTGTTCTGCTGTAACTGCCTGTGGGGTCTGAGTGATGTCACATGCTTATGAGTGTATGAGGTCCTCTTACAGAGAGGATATCCAACTACTGGTCACCTTGAGAAGAGGCTGATTTTCCACAAGACATTATAACTGAGGAAACTGGTTTTATACTAAAAGGAAGAAATTAATTTGCCATTCTCCAGGGTGGCCCTGTTAGGGAAGAAAAAATGACCCTTGTATATAGGACTTTTCTTTCTATAGATAAGCCTGAAGAAAATGCTATCAGAGATCCCATGATAATGGATGTCGGTCCGGACATATGGGCTTCAGGGGTTAGCTTCTGTTTGGTACTTGTTAGAAAAATCTTATCACAAATCATAATTTGATCTAGATGTGCCTATGCTTGAGGTGACACTGTAGAGAAGAGCCTGGGAAACTTCAGGAAATGAAAGACTAGCTGCAATGAAGTGAAAACTCAACTGTTTGGACTTAGAAGGCTGAACGGTAGCTGAAGGGGGGTTTCCAGCAGTATTGATAAATACCAAACATTTTATTGTGATGCAGGGTGGGGCCTCTGGCCAACATAATTTAATGAAATCTATCTCAGAAGTGGATGAACTCTGGCTCACACTGGTTACAGCTAACATTTAAATAAACGCTTACCGTCATATATAGAGATCTCTGAATCCATGTCATCTTTCTTTGCTTTTGATAATACCCACCTAAAAAGAAAGTTGAAAACACGTTTGTCATTAAAATAAGATTAGCAATTTATAGAGACAGTGAATATTAGAAACACAACAAAAGATTACCTCATACAGATTTTTCTCTGAAAAACAAACTTCTCTTTAGAGCCTAAATGAGAATACCTATATATAATCCTATATGGCTAGAGTTAAAACAAATCAGGAGCCTGTCACCTACCAGCTGAATGGTAATAGGAATGTACACCAAACCTCAGGTTCTTCACCTACAAAATGGGAACAGGTGAAGAAAGTACTTCTTCACCTACAAAATGGGGAACAGGTGAAGAAAGTACTTGTCTACCTACTTGGGATAGTGCTTGGTACGTAAGAATCAGTAAATGGTAACTTTTATTTTTACCATTATTTACATTGCAATAATAACTCAAGTTTGTCATCTGAATATAGATTTTTAGTATCTATCCTAGGAATGAAGAAATGCTATGTTTTGTCTTTACATTCAGAATTTGTATCTTTCTTTGTATACAGAAATAGCTATTTAAAAATTTCTATCAACAACAAACACGTGTGACATACTGGTTTACATGGGCAAAGTGCTTTAGGACTTTTTATAGATCTGGAGTAGAGCTAATTCTTACAGGCCAATAGCTTCAAAAAAGCTTATCAAATCAAGGAAATGTTCTCCTCAATGAATACTCACCCAGTCAACTTTCCACTATCAAACGTTTCTACAAAATATACTTCTCCTACAGGTTGTGGCGTCTTGTATTTAATAATCTAGAAAACAGAGTTTTAAAAATCTGAAGTTACCCATCATCACAAATATTTTGATTAAATAATCTCACAAGTTAAGAACCTAGTACACAATGCTTATGGAGGTAACCTGATGTGAGGTGGGCAATAGTCTCAAGACTTTGTGTCCAAGTAATGGTGAAAGAGAACATAACAAAATGCCATTGTGACAAAAACACTACACACAAAACAGAGGACACACTGACCTCTCCTAACCCTGGAGGAATGGGGGCAAGGAATTAGAGAAGGTCTCATGGCACATCTGACGTGGTCTCAGGATTCTGATAAGTGACAATATTTGGGGATAAAAATAATTAGAAGCAAAGGAAATAGCATAATGAAAAGCACCTAAGGTGGAAAGTTTAGTGACAGTACAGGCTAGTTGAAATCAACTCACATTTCACTGCTAGGTGATTAAAAGATGATACCATTTTCAGAGATTAGGAGACTAGAAAAGAAAGCATTCCTTGTATGTAGCACTGCAAAGCACTGCTTCAAGTGCCATGACTGCTGTCCTGATGATCATGGTGCTGGCTCCCTGCCTCCCCATAATACTTCTAAAAGGAAGTACTCTTATGGTAGCCACTTCACATATGATGACATTGTGGGAAAGAGACAAAGTAGCTCACCCACAGTTTACAAAGATAACTGTAGGATTTATACATGAACCCAGATTGTCTAGTTACAAAGCTCATATAACTTTACCATGCTAAACAAAATTTACCAACAGAATAACTTAAAAGATTTATTGATAAATTGTCAAAAACTAACTTGAATTAATGATTCATGAATAAAATTTTGCTTAACGTAATAGCAAATAGCTGGTTCCTTTCATAATCAGCCTTTTTTGATTTTTATCTGTACGACATTATGAGATTTCTACTCCAGCCTTTAGGGAAAAGGATGCAGAAACACTTTCTCTTTTTCACTGTCCCACTCCTGCCCTGACAGCACAACACTTCCTATCTTTTTGAGGAAGAAAATCGGTCAACAAAATTCCACATAATTACTAAAGAGGCTGATACTCAGTTACCAAAACTGCCAATCTTCTATGAAGTTTATTCATTTATAACTTTACTGTTCTCTGTACTTTTGTAGATTGGCAAAATGGGCAACGGAGTCATAAGAGGCTTCCTGCTGTCAGACCCTTAAAATCATCAGCACTGTGCTTTGCCCTTTGTTTACACTTTACAGTACTGTGACTGCTCTTGCTATAAAATTAGAAGCATTGAAAATTGTTCCTGTCAGGGACTATTTAGGAAGAGGAAGGGGACCAATGTATGTGGAGAACAAAGGGAGTAATGGGCGGTAAATACCAAAGTACATTATAGACAAAATTGTACAAAATGTCTTCTTGTATAATTAATATCAGCTAATAAAAATTTTAAAAATTGTTCTTTCTTGCTTCTTATGACCTCCTCAAACTTTCACCAAATATAGTCAGGTGCTGTGAGCATCCTGTCAAGTTTTTTGACCTGCTAAAGACTTCTGCAGTACTATATTTATGTCAGTTCTCTGCACTTTAAGCACTTACTTTGTGTATCATTAGGTTTTAAAAAGAAATACCCTTGCAGAGATGCAGAATGTTCACCTTGAACACAAACAACACATATTTGCAAATAAAAAGATGTTATTAAAGATTAAAGGAAGCAAAGAAGTCTCTAAACTAACACTATATGATTCCCCTGGTCCCTTAAACAGTGCCTGGCACACGCAATGCATGCTTTCTTACCATCAACAAATTTCTGCTTGTCACAATATTAGATATGAATATTCCTCAGTGTGACAGTTCCTATAGGTCGTCAAGGCGCCTCCAAATCTCTGTAAAGTCCCTGGACTCCCGCTGTCACTCACTGCCACACAAGACACTCCTCAACAATGTTGAGATGGAGACGCTGGGCAGCCTTACCAAACATCCACCTTGTCATTACTTCCCTTCCTAATTCATTGCCCCTGCTAGCATTTTCTTTCCTCAGAGAAGAGAAGAAAAGCCATTTACTTTACTTCTTGAAGAACCACAAATTATACTACCTTTTATTTTATTTGAAAAGGTGGAAAGGTTTGGCAGTGTCAGAAATAAAACTAAAAATCCTTACTCTTAGCTAAAGTACTTAGCCTTCATGGTAATTCCTGTTATACATAGGCACTCTAAAAAACACCCCCAAAACCACAGCAACAATACAGTCGGGAAAAAGCAAAATTTTCCTATCTTTTAGAAAATGAAGACTATGTTAAGAGATCAGCCACTCTTATGTATCTTGCACAGGAAGGATTTGTGACTCATTTCTCAATAACCTTACCCCCGAGGGATGTTCACCTTCATTAGCATCACTCTCTTCTGCATTTTCACTCAAGTCTTCCACCTCAACACCATCATCCATAAATTCTGCATTAATTGAGATGAACAGAAGACCCAAATATAGTCCAAAGGCGTGGAAATGCATATTCACTATCTGTGAAATTGAGAGTAGTGGAAATAAAACAAAATTGTGACTGATGCACAGTAAGTACTGTAGGAAGAGAATTTCTCCTTAATATTTCCTTTTTCTAGGATAGTTTTTAAAGTTAATCATTAAATAAAATTATTTAAATCATGCTTTGAATAAGTAAAACACAAGCTACAAATCTTCTAGCAAGCAGATTCTACAGACACAGGTCTCTGTCCAAACAAACAGCCAATGGCATAAAACCTAAAGATGTAAATAATGGTAATTACCAAACTCAGAGAATATGCAGACCCCTTAAAAAAACTATTATAATTCCTGAATATTCACTAAAATTATTTTATATAGTGTTGATTATGTATATGTGTGCAATTGGAAAATTTATAATCATAAAACCAAAATACATTTACATTTAAGCTCCCAAAAAACTAAAGGGAAAGAATTTTTATCACACAGTTAATGAGGTTGGGTTTGCCAAAATCAAACCACAGTTGAGCAAATATGGGGCTTACAGAAATCAAGTTGACTGCTACAGAAAAAGTTATGTTGTGTTCATCATTCCTATAATTCTGTGATCACATAATTACTTACCATTCCTGTATCTAAATACTGTGGAATTTCTGCTCCTTATAACATTAAGGTGAGCAAAAGCCAAATGCAATTTGACTGTTTCCTAGTAGAGACACACGACTTTATGACTACACCTTCCTCTATTCCTTTAGCACATGAAAATATGACTCTTGCTTCTTGGTACCAACAGACTTTCAAACAAGTATATGTGACTTGAGACAGTGTGGTTATAAGGTGGTCACTAATCTAGACAATGTACAATACAGTTATATTACTCTTTTTCCAAAGTTACTGTCAACATGGAATTAAAAAAAAATTTAGAACTCTTGGACCCTTCAGAATATAGCCATAGGCCTATCTGGATCTGTTTGACAGGATTCACAATGAGATAACCAGCAGAATGGTTATAAACATAGAGACGCTATCAACTACTGGGAGCAGGTGGAGAAACTAGAGCCTTTGGACACGGTTGGTTGGGAGTGTGAGAACGTAAAATGATAGCCAGTAGCTCTGGAAAATAATATGGCAGTGTTTCAAAACGACAATAGAATTATCAATAAGCATTTCCACTCCTAGATGTACCCAAGAGAAACTGAAACAGATGCACACACAAATACTTATAAACAAGTGTTGAAAGAAACATCTTTCAATATTAGTCAAAAAGCAGAAACAACTCAAACATGCAACAAACAAAATCCAGAGGACCCTCATGGAGTATCACTCAGCAATGAAAAGACTCAAAGTCGTGATACATGCAAAAAAATGTACAAACATCAAAAATATGCAGAATGAAAAGTCAGCCACAAAGACCTCCTCCCCACACCACTGCATGGTCTCCCTTAAAAGACATGAGCAAACCCACAGAATTAGAAAATGGGTGAGAGGTCCCCAGAGCAGGGCAGGTGGTGGACAGGTTCCCACACTAGAATATGAGAGTGGTTGCCCAACTCAGCAAATCAACTAAATCTCACTGACTCATACACATTAAGCAGATGAACTTGATAGTATACGCTTAGGTACCAACACAGCTGTTTAAAAACAGCTAATGGACCATAAAAAGCATTTTTACATAATTAGCTCAACTGATAAAAAGCCTTTTTATTTATTTATTTTATTATTCATATGTGCATACAATGCTTGAGTCATTTCTGCCCCCTGCCCCCACCCCCTCCCTTACCACCCACTCCACCCCCTCCCTCTCCCCTCCACCCCCTCAATACCCAGCAGAAACTATTTTGCCCTTATTTCTAATTTTGTTGAAGAGAGAGTATAAGCAATAATAGGAAGGAACAAGGTAAAAACCCTTTTTAATGAGATCAAAACTTTATATGAATGTGACTTGATTTAACGAGTCACTAGTTACCACCCTAAAGTTTACCTTGAAAATGCATGTTTTCAGAAAAACCTCAAGGCTAACCTACCATAACAGTTTTCTATACTCCAGGTGCCCTTCAAGGACAGAGACAATGCAAAAACAATGTCCTCTGTTAAGAGTTGCTTGGTTTCTGAATCATAAAAGGGGTGTGACGGGCTAAGAAGTAAATATAAAAGATCCACTTGACTCAGTACAACAAAGTAAGCTTATTTTCTTAACTTTCCACTTACTGGCACCGAAATTGTCACAGGCGCTTCAAAGTTGCTTTTGCTGAGGAGCACTAACTCCTACTTGAGCTTTAACTCCAGACAGGACGCAGATTCGTGCAACACCTCTATCCATAGACATGGAAGGATTACATGGACGGTGGGGAAAATGTAGCCAGGACCACAAAAGGGAAGAGAGCTAGATTATAGCCAATTTGCATGCTGGTCAGTTCATTCTGCTTCTGAATTAAACTGACCTCTTTCCCTCTTTGTCTACAGGGTTAACTCCCTCTGCTCTTCAATTAACCTGGGCTCTTACTGACTGCCTGAGCAGTAAACCTGCCAGAAAAGACATAGCTTTCGAGATGTGGTGGGGGACACCTGGAGAAGCAAGGCCAGCGCCCATGGCGGACATGCATCTGGTCATGCAGTCAAGCTGAGCCCCTGAACTCCCCTCTAAAAGGCAGACATATTTTCTCTCAGAAGGGAGACCACAAGCTTGGAGAGTTGACTCTCCCTGTCTTCCTCTTTGTCTGACAAATAATGCATCTTATTTCCTTTTCCTCAAAAATCTTGCTCTTGTTATTTGTGAGTTGGCACTGAGGTCAGGGGAGGGGCATTCTGGTAACACTTTGTTTTTCTTTTTATTGGTACTAAGGGTTGAACTCAGGGTCTTGAGTTTGTTAGCAAATGTTCTATTGAGGGTTTTTGCTGTTGTTTTGTTTTGTTGTGGCAGTACTGGTGTTAAAACTTGGGAGCTTGCACTGCTAGGAAGGCATTCTTCCACTTGAGTTACATCCCCAGATTGTTTTTTTTTAACTTTCATTATTTTTTAGGTAGCATTTCATGTTTTTGCCTGAGGCCAGCCTCAGACTGTGATCTTCCATACCTGTGGCCTCCTGCATAGCTGGGACGATCACAGGCAGACCCCACCATACTTGACTTATTGATTGAGATGGGGTCTTGCTGACTCTTTGCATGGGTTGACCTTGATCTCGATTCTCCCCTGCCCATCTCTGCTTCTCAATTAGCTGGGTGTACAGGTGTGAGCCACTGAAATCAGTCCCTTCATTTGATTTTTTGAGATAGGCTCTCATTATGTAGTCAAAGATGGCCTTGAACTCATGATCCTCTTGCCTCAACCTCTTGAGTGCTGGGATTACAGGCATGTACCACCACACCCAACATGCTACTGGGTTCTTTACTGATGGTGATCTTGATCCCTTATCATATATATGGTTTATAGATTTTTTTCTCCCATTCCCACAGATTTTTCATTCTATTTATTATCACTTCATGCATAGATGTTTTTGTTACTTTTGAAGTGTTCCAATTTAGTAAATTTTTCCTTTAGTTGCCTATGCTTTTTGTTACATCCAAAAAATATCATTGCCAAATCCAGTGTCATGATGCTTTTCATTAAGACGTCTATAACTTCAGCTCTTGTGTTAAGGTTTTCAGTCCATTTTGAGTTAACTCTGCACATGGATAGCCAGTTTTCCCCAAGAACACTTGAAGAGAAGACTGTCATTTCCATAGTGACTGGTCTTGCTACTCTTGTTGAAACCACTTAAATAACTATGTAAGTTTATCACGGGATGATCTACCCCTGGCCTATCCACCAACTTATATGCTAGTACCACACAAATCTGATTAGTGTAGCTTTGCAGTAGGCCTTGAAATCACGCACTGTGAAACCTCCGACTTTAATCTTTCCCAAGGTTGTTTCGGCTGTTGAGCGTCTGTTGAGATTTGTGTGTGTGTGTATATATATAGAACAGATTTTTCTATTTCCACCAAAAAAGTGCCATTAGGATTGAAGTAGGGATTGAATTGAACCCGTATCTCACTTTGGGTGGGACTGATATCTAATATTAAACCTTCTAATCTATGAACACGAATGTCTTTCCATTTATTTGTCTTCTTTAATTTCTATCCTCAGCATCTCGTAGTTTTCAGCTTTTAAGTATTTTGCTTCCCTAGTTAAGCTTATTCCTCTTTTAGTATGACCTTTATCATCCTGAAGCAGTTTTCTTCCTAGTTTGCTCAGAGTTTTATACTGAAATAGTGTTGGATCTTGTAAAACGCTTTTTCTGCATCAATAGAAACGATCAATAAAAAGATTAAAAAAAAAGGTTTTTTTTCCACACGCACTGTTTTTTTTTAAGGCTCCTCTGTATAATGACACTTACTGCCTGGCATGGGGATTAATCCCAGTTCTCTCCAGCCAAGTGAGGAGAGCGGTTTTGCTAAACAAGCTTTATTTGTTTATTTAATTTCTTTTATTCATATGTGCATACAATGTTTGGGTCATTTCTCCCCCCTTCCCCCTGCCTCCTCCCTTTTTCCCTCACCCACTCCCTCCCCCCAACCCCCTGTTTTGCCTTTATCTCTAATTTCCCTACACGCACTGCTAATGTGGGGTGGAGAATCATTTTAATAGTCAGGGTTCTCTACAGAAACGAACAAGCTGGCATGGGTGTAAGAATGCATTAATTATGTGGAATTAGCTCATATGATTACAGCGCCTGAGAAAGTTCCATCTACAATCTGAAGTGGATGGGGGAGACCCAGGAGAGCTGATGGAGTAATTCCAGTCTATGTCCAAAATCCCAAGAGTCAGGAGAGCTGATGGTGTAAGTTTCCATCTGAAAGCCAGCAGACTGGAAGCCTAAGAACAGTCAATGTTTCAGGCAGATTTCAGAGGCAAGAAAAGACTGATGTCCTAGTCACTCAGTCAGACAGGAGAAATACCCTCTTCTTTGAGGGAAGGTCAGATGTTTTCTTCTATTTAGGCTTTCACCTGCTCACTTTACGCAGGGCAATCTGCTTTATTCAGTCACCAGTTCAAACGTTAA